TTTGTTATGTGTAATTTTTTAATTAAACCTTTTGTATTAACGTGAATTAATTGATGAAATTGAGTTGTTTCTTGAACAGAACCAATAAGTAATTGATCTATTTTTTCGTTGCTAGCCACTAATGGGCCCGGAAGGTTAGTATGAGATCTGATATGAGTAATAAAAATTGGAAACTGGCGATTCCGTATAATCGACTGAAGTTGTTGAAACAGTTTGGAAACTTCATCAGTTTCTGTAATAGTAACTGTTTCTAAGGCTAGAGCTGTTTGTACAACATATTGTGAATCAGAAACAATATTTAAAGGTGAAGTAATATCTTGTAAAAGCTGAGTAACAGCTTGCAATTCTACCTTTTGTGCTGAAGCTTAAAGGGTGGTCCACACTTTGGTTAAAGGATCGGAATAACCTGCCTGTCCCTTACTGTTGCCATCAGTAAAAAAAGTAGGAGCATGAGGTATAGGTGTGGATTTTACTATTCTAGGCAATATCCATTGAGTTAATTTTAGAAATTGGAGCAATTTATTTTTTGGATAGTGATTATCAATAGTTCCTACAAAATCAGATATACCCAATTGCCAATCCAGGTTTTGCTGATAAGCCATTTGAATTTGCGAATTAGTAAGAGGAACAATAATTTTTTCAGGATCTTGGCCACTTAATCGTTTTAATCTTTGACGGCCTTTAAATATAATTTGACCAATTTTATTCAAATATGTCATAAGACGTTTTTGTTGTTTATGTGGGAGAAAAATCCATTCAATTATACCTTCTTCTTGAATCAAAGTAGCAGAGGGAGAATGTTCTGATGGATAAACAATTAAATCTTCTCCCTTTTCAAGATTTACTCTTGAAAGTTGAGCTTTGTAAATATGAGATTGGATCCATGCCAATTCCTCTTGAGCTGCCTGAGTTAGTTTATGAGGACTATTAAGATTAGAGTCACCCTTCAGTATATCAAACAAGTTACTTAAAGCATAAGTAGGAATTCCTAACATAAGTCTAAGCCAATTTATGTCTCCTAACAACTTTTGAAAATCATTTAGAGTTTGTAATTTGTCTATACTACATATTTGAACTTTTTGAGGAACTATTTTATTTCTCTCAATGAGAGACCCTAAATAAGTAAGTGGATAATCCTGTTGGATTTTATCTTCAGCAATTATTAAACCAAATTGAGGCAATATTTGTCTGGCCTGTTGGTACAGCTGTTCTAATTCTTGTTTGGATGAACATGCAAATAAAATGTCATCCATATAATGAATAATATAACTATGAGGAAGACATTTTATTAGTATTTCTAAAGGCTGATTGACAAAATGTTGGTGCAGGGTTGGACTATTAAGCATGCCCTGAGGCAAGCCTTTCCATTGGTACCATTTAGTTGGCTGTTGATTGTTTAAAGCAGGTATGGTAAAGGCAAATTTTTCTCTATCAGATATTTGTAAAGGAATTGTAAAAAATCAGTCTTTTAAATCTACTATTATAATATGCCAGTCTTTAGGGATCATAGCCAGAGATGCAAGTCCTGGCTGAAGAGTTCCCGTTGGTTGTATAATTGCATTGATCTTTCTTAAATCAGTTAACATTTGCCATTTACCGGATTTCTTTTTAATAACAAATACAGGGGAGTTCCACAGACTGGTGGACTCCTCTGTATGTCCTGCTTGTAGTTGTTCTTCTACTAATATTTGAAGAGCACCCAATTTTTCTTGATTTAGCGGCCACTGCTCTGTCCATATAGACTTTTGTGATAACCAATTTAAAGCCAGTGCATAGTGGTGCCTTTTAGCAGCAGTGGCCGCTATCCAAAATTTGGATAGCCTAAACCATGCCGAAAGGAATGTGCTTTTGGTGCCGCCAAAGTCTTAGCCCCTCAGCCTTTTTTACCTAAGCCAAAACAAGGATTATAATTCATATTAAGCATTATTTGTTTAACGGGAGCAGACATATTAGGTATATTGAAAGCGCCCCGTTGTTGTAACAAATCTCTTCCCCATAGATTAATAGCAATGTCAGTCATGTAAGGTTTTAAAGTGGCTGTCTGTCTGTCAGGGCCAGAACAATTTAAAATTTGTTGACTTTGAAATATATTAGTCATAGTTCCAATTCCAGTAAGTACCGTAGGAACTTGTTGTAAAGGCCAAGCCTTTGGCCAAAAACTTTTAGAAATAATTGTAACATCAGCTCCAGTATCTACAAGTCCAACAAAAGATTTTCCATTTAGCTTAATTTCTAATTGAGGTCTCTGGTCATTAATAAAAGTTTGTCAGTATACTTTAGTTCCAGTACTTCCAAAACCTCCTTGTCTTAGAACATTAGATTTTCCAATTTGTATATAAGGTAATAACAGAAGTTGTGCAATACGGTCTCCAGCCTGAATATAATAATCAGAAGTGGAACTCATCATAACTGAAATTTCTCCTGAATAGTCCGAATCAATTACACCTAAATGCACTGAAATTTCTTTTAATGTAAGAGGGCTCCGGCCCAGGATTAACCCTACTGTGCCTGGAGGAATCAGCCCAGATACACCTGTAGGTATTTTACATATGCCAGTAGATGGCGTTACCAGGCCATTGTCACGAGATGATAAATCCAGGGCTCCACTTCCCTTAGTAGCGGGTGCTAGATCAGGCACTCTGAATTTTGTGGGACCCAAGTTTGAAACTGTTGTGGCGGCTGCTGACCGAGGCTGCTTGTTGCCCCATTGTTCTCCTGAGTCTGTGGCTGCCAAGCCGAGAACTGTTGGACAAAACGGTTTCCTGTATTTTCCTTGGGGCCCCAGGCAGGGCCCCACACCCTGTTTCCCTGTTCCGTAAGGGGGTGGCCATTAGCATGAAATTTAGAATGGCAACTATTTGCCCAATGGTATCCTTTACCACAGCGGGTGCAAAGTCCGGGAGCAGGACCAGCAGATTGGCATTGTTAAATGGCTCCACAAGGTTGTTTACAGTCTTTTTTCAAATGACCCTTATGGCCACAATTAAAACATTTAGAGGAAGTTCTTTGTCCTCCCGGATTGCCTTTCCCGTGGATAGCCTCAGCCAACATTTGCATTTTATAAGCGTCTAATCCAACTTCTCGGCAAATTTTTAGGTATTCTTCGAGCGGGGCATTGTTTAATTTTAATGGATGTGAAAGCTGCTGACACTCTGAATTAGAATTATCAAAAGCCAACATATATAACATCATATTTCCTAAATGTGGAGGACTAATTGTTTTTTGCACAACATTTTGCAATCTAACAATAAAATCCACATAAGGTTCATTAACATTTTGCTTTACATTTATGCAGGAAGGCACAGTTTGTTCAGGAGAAGCTATCTTTTCCCATGCTCTAATACAGCACTGCCGAATTTGGGTAATAGCCTGATTGTCGTATTTTAATTGAGCATTTATGCCAAACCAGTTTTCTTGTCCCGTAATTCCTGCCTCCAAGATATCTATTGGCGGATCTTGGGATTGATTTAGCCATCAATCCCAAGATTGTTGGGAGGGTTTTATCCCTCCACCAAGTGGTGAACTGTAAAAATTTAGACCGAGGTAAAACTGTTCGCACCAGAGATTCCCAATCCCAAGGAATTAGTCTTTCTGTTTGAGCCAATCCTTCAAGCAAGCCCTTGGTGTAAGGAGAGTTTGTACCATATGAGGCACAGGCTTGTTTTAATTCTTTGAGAGTTTTAAATGAAATAGGCGCATGAACATGACTGGGGCCTTGAGGTGTTTGTGCCGCTCCGTCCTGATCATCAGAATCTGAGCTCGGCTGCATTATATCAACAGGATAAAGATATGTTTTTAAATTCCCATTTAACTGCATTTCTCTCATACCTTTCAAAACTTTAGTTTGTTTTTTAGGAGTTTTTCTAAGGGCGGACAGTGCTTCTGGGAGCCATTTGCATTAGAAAGCAATGGCTCCGCAGGTGAAAGCTTGTTTCTAGCTACTGTTTCAAGCGAAAGTTCATCTTTAAAATCTTTTTGCTACTCTATTTTTTCTACCTACCTGCGCTCAGAGCCAATGGCCATCTTTACTGGCTCTCTCTTATCCTGGCCTGATGCAGACGGAAGGTCCTAAATACCTCCTCCTTCATACAAAAAGCAGGCCCCAGATCTCTCACTGCACTTTTTTTAGGACGGAGTTCTCTGTCTCGCTAAAAGGAGACTGAGTCTAACTCAGCATAAGAAGTTCTTCCCCATTTGTTACCCTGAGTATAATACTAATTCTTATTTCCTTAATTCAATCCCTGGAGTACTCAACTCTCTCTTGCGGGTATCTTAGCTTGGAGCCCTCTCCAGGTCCCCTGCAACATGGTACGGAGATCCCCTTCACTCAAGCGAAGCCATTTACCAAAAAAGAGCCTGTAGAAAAATCCTGCCAATTAGCCAGTTTGCGGGGAGTTAGCTATGCTCCCAGCATATACCTGAAAGAAGTGAAAGCAGGGACTTGAAGAGGCGTTTGTACACTCATGTTCATAGCAGCATTATTCCCAATAGCCAAAAAAAGTGGAAGCAATGCAAATGTCCATTGACAGATGAACAGATAAACAAAATGTGGTACATACAATGGAATATTATTCAGCCTTAAAAAGGAAGGAAATATAGGTATATGCTACAACATGGTCATAAAATGATGAATATTGTCTGATTCCTCTTATGTTTCTAGAGTAGTCAAATTAATAGAGACAGGAAGTAAAATGGTGGCTGCCATGGGTGGGAGAAGAAGGGAATGGGAAATTAGTGTTTTAATTGGTATAGAGTTTCAGTTTGGGAAAATGAAACAATTCTAGAGGTGAATGGTAGTCATGTTTGCCCAGCAATATGAATGTACTTAATGCTACATAACTGTACACTTGAAAATGGATAAGAGTAAATTTTATGAGTATTTTACTGCAATTTAAAAGAAGAAGCTAAGAATAACACAAGAATTATCTTAAATATTAATTTTTTAGCTTGTTGCATTGGATTAACATTCATCAATTGGAAAAAACTATTTTTCTTCCTAGCAACCTCAAGATGAAACAGAACAAAATAAAGCTCTGTTACAGTAAGTATAGTAATTTTTGGCTTCATTATATCATAGGTATTTTTTTGGTCATTTTGTACATCTAAGATGAGTATTCATTTTTTAAGAGTTTTAGAATTGTGTGTTTTTGAATGATTGCCCCTTTAGCAGCATAAATATATGTTATTTTATAAACATTCTATATGTTTAATTTCATAAGAATGATTGAATCAGATTAAGGTAAGTTCATTCTCTATTTATTAATATTATTTAAAAGTGAATTTAAAGCAAACATGAAGGAAGAATTTGTAAAGCTTATTGAAATTAGGCTTCCTGTAACTATTATACTTGAAGAGACTATCTCTTCACTTCTTTTAAAACGGTAGTTCTCAAAGTATGGTCTATGGACCCTGTCAGGTATACATGAGATTCTTTTATAGAGTCTGTGAAGTCAAAACTATTTTCATAATAGTACTAACTCATTATTTGCATGTTTCGTGGTGTTTATGTAAGAGTGGTGAACTCACTAGGTACTCACAGCACGGGTGGAGAAAGATTTCTCATACAAGGATTAGGATATATAAAAGTAAAAAGTTTATTTTACTTTCTTAGAAGGAGAGAGATAGGGAGTGAGAGAGAGAGAGAGAAGGGAGAGGGAGAAAGATAGGGAGAAGGGAGATGGCATGGTACCCCAAAGAAAGAGAATGGAGGTGCCTGCCTGCTCTGAGCCAAGTGGCTTGCCATTTTTTATTGGGACAAAGAGAAAGGGGCAAAAAATAGTGATTGCTGTCAGTTGATAACAGAAGTGGCTGTCAAAGAGTTGGCTTCTCCCCTTTTCCTTTCCCTTGGAGACAGGCTTATCACTGGGGATGTGATCTTGTTGGTGATCTCGCCCTTGAGGATATAGTTTTGGGCGGGAACTAAGGCTGGAAGCTCACATCCCTGCTGTCCACTCAGGAACTCTTCAAGGCTGTTAAGCAAACTCTTAAAAACAGTTTAATCTATAGATCTGGTGAATGTAAAAGAAAATGATTTACATTTCCCTTCTGTCTGCTCAGCTCTTTTCAGATGTGAAAACAGAACCCCATAGGGTACCAATTAGCGAGAGAGCTCATGTGACTAATCTTAGCTGTTACTGAGAGACTGTGGGTTAGATAATTTTTTTTTTTCTGTTATTTCGTTAGCAAGGCTGTCCTTTCAGTTTACATTCGCATGACAGTACTACAGCAGTTGTGGGTAAAATGCTGGAGCCTTAATAGGAATCAGCAGTGGTACCAGTACTAGTAGTCATATTTTTCACCACCATAGACTTGCAGTTAAAAAAAAAAAAGCCAGTTTCACTTAAAACATTTGTGTTTGTTAAGGCAGAAGTTACTAGTTTTATTAAGTCTCCACTTTTGATTATATATCTCTTTAATATTCTGTATGAAGAAATGGAAGGTATACTTAAAGCATTTCTGTGCATACTTGTGTGATGGCTATCTTGAGGAAAGCAGTTGTACACTTGTTTGTGTTGTAAGCATTGTAGAAACCTAGTTTTACTTTTTTTTTTTTAACTTGAAAGAATGACTGACAAACTGGTTATTCACACTTGGGTATGTGGCAGACATTTTCTTGAAAATAAATGAAGTTAGCTTGAAGGAAAACAGCTGATGATATTTGTTGCCAGTGAAAACATTCTAACTTTCAAGTTAGAATTTTGGAAAATGGTGTCCACCACCTTGACCTTCATGGCTTTCCAATACTTAAAACCCTCTGGTGAGATCACTGGTTACATTTACAAAGGTGATTTTTAAGTATTTTATAATGAAATGTGTCAACATTAGGAATATGTGCATAACTCAGTGAATCAGTATTTTCTAAAAGACCAATGCATAATGTTATAAAATCATGCACAGGTAAAAGATCCATTCATAGTGCAAGATAGATTAATGGGTTTTAATGTAACAGAATATAAAAAGTTCATTAATTTTATTTCAGTTTCTACATTTTAAGTAACTTAAGAAACTTGTTTGTAGAATTTTGGTGTAATTATCGAAAAGAATATTATAGTGTTAGAAGGAAAGCTTTCTGTCTACCCACTGAAGATTTGCTGAAAATGAACTGACAAAAGGCAGATTTAATATAAGAAAAAGGCATACAAAACTTATTTAATGTGCACGGTGGGGATGGGGGTGGGGGGAATCACAGGTGTGTGGTTACTAAATAACCCAATGAAATCTGATGCTTATATACCCTTCTTCGTAGAGGAAGGGCAGATGAGAGGTGTAGGAGTAAATGATTTTCAGGGGAAATGAATGGGCCCAAAGAACTATGGCCACAAAGAACCGTGGCCCGGGACAAGTTCCTCTGAGCTCTGAGGGAGGTGGCAGGAAGGTAAGGGGTGGAACTTCACTGCGAACAAACTTCTTTTATTATGCAGAGCCTAATTTACTGCATAAATGCAATCAAGATACCTTCCTTTTACCAAAAAAAAAAAAAAAAGCCACTTGTTTCAGCTGTTTTAAGAGCAATTTTTATGCACCAGCCATAGCTACTTGAATTCTAAGCAAGAATAATAAATTGAGCATTCTCTCCTGTCCAAAAAGAAATCAATGTGAGCCATCTTGAAAACGGACATGTAACTACACATATAGAATGGTAACTTCTATAAGGCAAATAGAGAAGAACGCTGATTTTTTTCCCTAAAATGTGACTCTTCAGAAAGAACAAGCTGATTGAAAATAAAATAAAATCATACTTTGAGTTAACAACAGGGTATTTGCCTCAATGCAAAAGAGTCTTTAAGACATAAGTCTGAAAATAGAGCAGAGTTCTATCTAAATTATTACAAATAATTATTTATATTAGACAAGATTGCAAACAACCTAAATGTCCAACAGTAGAGGAAAAATTAAATGAATTATAGTATAGTCCATCATACAATAAAATATTATAAGATCATTAAAACATATTTTTTAAAAAATTAATGACATTAGAAAATAACTAAAACTATTAAAATTTGAAAACAGGTTATAAAACTATCTGCAGGATGATCCCAATTCTGTAGAAAGTATGAACAAAATCAAAAATGTGTATAAAGCCTAAAATAAATTGTACAAATATGTCAGTGTATTTGAGAATGTAGATAGTCAAACTACTTAATTTTTTCCCTTCTACCTCTATTTGGCAGTCACCTCCAAAGTTACTTTCAGATCTAAATGTAGTTTTGCTTGTGTACACTCCTCAATTTGTCTATGAATTTTTCAACTCTCTCCTTCATTTTTGTAATCACTTAAAATGTAAATGTTAATGAAATGGTAATAACTGTAAAAATAATTAGAATGATGTAGCACAGATATATCCTGTTTGGAAAGCCCTTTAAGTGAAAAAAGTTTAAACTGTATTTGAATAAGAAACAGTGTTTTTTTCTTTCCATTTCAAAATTTATTTTTATTTATTAATTAATTGATTCATTTTTTTTTTAGGACTAGAAAGAATTATCCAATGTTCACTATGTCATTTCCCCAGACTGGAATTTCACTGAACCACCAAAACATTGGAGGTATGATTTGATGAGTAAAGTCATATGAAGAAAATTTATCTTTGCCTAAAAGTAGAAGGCTTAGTTAGATATGAATTTATTTACAACTAGGTTGGTCTACTATACCTATTCTTTTTTTTAAGAGATGGGGTCTTGCTATGTTGCCCAGGCTGGCCTCAAACTCCTGGATTCAGGAGTTCTCTGAAACAGATTCTCCTGTTTCAGCCTTCTGAGTAGCTGGGACTATAGGCATGTACCACCGTACCCAGCTTACTATACATTTTTAAATATGAAATCAGTGTTGCTATTGGCCTTGGATCATGCTGTATAGAATTGCTTATGAGAGCAGCAGCTCAGGTGCAACCTGCTACTCCAAATGTGATTTTGGAGCTCAAATTTGAAAACAATGTTTGTTTCCTCTGCTCATAACATTTTAAATATATATGTCAAGGCTTTCTTTACTAGCAGTCACATAAGCCTTGGTGTTGCCTTGGTGTCAGCTGTGTTAGAGGATGACTGACTGTCTTTCTCTCTGAGGTGTCTCCCAGTGACTGATCCAGAGTGAATTTCATGTATGTTGTATCACAGTGTGGTAATTATTCATAGTGTTCAACAAAACCTTGTATTATAAGAAAGGGACACAAGGACATGATAAAAAATTGGAAAACATAAATTTAAAAATCTTCTCCTGCTCTTTTGCTACTATAACAAAGCAGTACCACTTTTGCCCACCACCAGCTCTTACATGTGCTTTTAATGCGTAGAGTTTGGTCTGTAATATTGTTTATTCTTCTAACAAATATTTATTGAGCCTTCTATGTGCCAGATGTATGGGTGCTATGAGTGTATGAATGCTAAATAAACCAGGGATTCTTAAAGGATAGGTGATCCATCTTGGAGCACGAAGATATCATGATGAGTCTGAACATCTATCATTGCTGAAAAGCCAGGATACTTTCAAGGATGTCTGGGGGCAGTGCTGAAAGAATAAAGGGCTAACTCAATGGTGCTTCTATTGGCCAATCTGTGGCAAATTAAGTAGGGAAAAAAACCCAATAGTTTATAGTTAATGGAAATAAGTTTGAAAAGACCACGAGTTCAGAATGATACTCAAAAAATGTTAAGAGTAGGCCAGGCGCGGTGGCTCATACCTGTAATCCTAGCACTCTGGGAGGCTGAGACGGGCGGATTGTTTGAGCTCAGGAGTTCGAAACTGGCCTGAGCAGAGCGAGACCCCGTCTCTACTAAAAATAGATAGAAATTAATCAGACAACTAAAAATATATAGAAAAAATTAGCCGGGCATGGTGGCGCATGCCTGTAGTCCCAGCTACTCGGGAGGCTGAGGCAGAAGGATCGCTTGAGCCCAGGAGTTTGAGGTTGCTGTGAGCTAGGCTGACGCCACGGCACTCTAGCCCGCGGCAAAAGAGTGAGACTCTGTCTCAAAAAAAAAAAAAAAAAAAAAAAAAAAAGTTATATAAAACATGGTCTTCATAGCAAAAAGTGACTATGGTAGGATATTTAAAAGTTTTAATGATGTTTAGAAATAGGGACCTGTTAATGCATGTGCATTTTGGTTTTTTTAATTAAATACGTGTCTATTTACAAAACATAGGGTATTTTTGTTTATCACTATTTAAGTAGAGAAAAAAGAAAACAGAGAACTGTGAGTAAGTCAAGAAGTCCTGGAAAAAGTAAGAATCGTACCTAGGAAAGGAAGGCCCATGCACACCATATAAGCAGTGACCCATAAAACATGTAAGAAGTGGGGTCCCCAGATGACAAATTAATCTGATATCAAATTAGGGAGACTTTTTTGCAGAGATTAGATCCTTATCTCTTAGGAAATGAGAGCCTTAGATGGCCCTGCTTATCATGATAGGTATTAAATGGCTGGCATAAGTTTCCACTAAAACTAACAGGACAAATCAGTATATAGTAAATCACAGGACAAAAACTTTTATAACACTAACCACGTACAACTTAAAGCATTTTGGGGCAAAACATTAGGTTACAAAAAATAACCTTTGTGAAGTTTAAGGTGTTTTCTTATGATAGTAAAGTCAGGTAATTCACTGCTCAGGTTTGAATCATCTTGAGAGAAATAGTCCCGTGCCCCAACAACAAATTGGTAGTCACTAACCCAGATCCTGTCACCTTGGTTGGTCCAAGAAGTTATTTGTTTTCTTTTGGCTCTGAGAGAATTTCTGTAATCCTGGGAAGGTGTCAAAATAAGTATTATTTTAATCTTAAGAAGGTATAGGAACAGATGTAAAAATAAAGAAGAATGAATTATACCAAACATACTGTTATTTTAGAATTAGTGTAAGAGCAATAATACATTTTTATAACCATTGTATTTGTGTGCACTTTGTCTTTTATATAAGATATTTGAAGTGGTAAAAAATTAATCATGTCAAAATGTTAGATTGTTTAAGAGAATTTAAATTTGTAATTCAATGTTTAAATTGTTTAAATTACTGTTAAAGAAACAGTAATTTTCAAGTTTCCATGTCTTATATATAGAAGTTAAATAAATTGACCATTAAACAAATATAAGTACAAATAGTAATTGTTGTTCCTCTCCAAATACAAAAGACTTTTTGATTTTTAAAAAGTCAAAATAATATCAGACAGCCTAATATAATTCAGACTATGCCAAATAAATCCTCCAAATTTAGTAGAAACCTATTTAGCACCTTTTATAGATAAACCAAAAGAGTTATAGATAAACTGTAGTTTATAGATATCTATAGTTATAGATAAACTATAGTTATAGATATCTATAGTTACAGATAAACCAAAAGAGTCATGTTTATAAACCTGTAGAGGTGCCATCATAGAGGCTGAAGTCCTTTTTTGCAAGGATGTCTTGAAAAATTTGAGACAAGGATGTCACAGGTGATATCATGCCTTTGGCATTCCTTTTTCTCCCTTGAATTTTGACCCTGCATCAGCAATGGTTACACAGAAGATCCATTCCCATTTTTCTCATACCTAATCCTAGCATTTATTAAAACAAAACAAAACAAAACAAACAAACAGGGATTTCACTATGTCCTGTATTTCCCATAGCTCCAACTTCCTGCCCATTTGGCCCTCTGAGAGTCATTAATGCCTTGTGGTGCTTGGTATCTGTGTGATGTTACCAACCTTCCTTGAACTTCTGAGTCACAAGTCTTATTGGCTGTACCTTTAAAAGTGTTTCGTGCACTAGGATTATTGCTTTGTGGTATTTCTTGCTGCCCTAAAGCTGCTGTGACTAGAGACCCATAGATTTGGTACTTCATGCCTTTACTCCTTTCAGAGTGTTCATAACGAGAAGTTCTTTTTATTATAATCCTGGACATTAGGTTAAATCACATGTAAGTAAACTATTAAATTGTTAGCTTTTATAGCTGACTCTGTTCTAATACAGTTTGTCTTCTCTCTCCCAATTCAAAGGGTAATTCTAACCAAAGTGTAGAAAGATAAAAATAAGCAAACTATTTTAAACAAATATAATAGCATTGGCTTTAAAATGTTTGTGTATAAGTTAATGTGTAAGTTAGAACTTAGCTCCTCTGTTCATTTCATTGCATTTGACCCATTAGAGTTATTTCTCATACATACCATTATGTTTTGTCTCTCTCAAGTGATAAGTAGAAAATGTACAAAACCTTTTAATAATTTATTAAAGGATAGACAGGAATTTAAGAAGAATTCTTTTTGTATTTGTAAAAACTTTCAAGTAAAATTTATAGTTAGAAAAGATAATTCCTTCTAATCGTATTTATTTTTAATACAGTAATCAAATTACAGTAAATTATTTTATTAATATATCAAATTTTAAAAATAGTAACTTGACATAAAAGAATGATCATTTTGATGATAAGGTTGTTAAAGACAACATGGGAGAAGATGTCTATAAGGGTTCTTTCTTTATAACTCAGAAAAGGAAGAAGAGGATGAAATCTTTTTCTCTGTTTTTGAATTCTAAGCCCCCAGGGATCTGAAAGTTTATTTTTTAAAAACTTCTTGCAAAGCTAGTTGAAGATATATCTATTGTTTTAAAATGTTTCTTTCATTGGTATTAAAATTATAAGCAACTAGGATACAAAATTTTAAATAAGATGCAGATAGTATATCATCATGGCTTAGCACAAAGGATTCTAAAGCAAGGATAAGAAATTATTTATTCTTTTTTTTTTTTGAGACAGAGTCTCACTCTTTTGCCGGGGCTAGAGTGAGTGCCGTGGCGTCAGCCTAGCTCACAGCAACCTCAAACTCCTGGGCTCAAGCGATCCTTCTGCCTCAGCCTCCTGAGTAGCTGGGACTACAGGCATGCGCCACCATGCCCGGCTAATTTCTCTATATATTTTTAGTTGTCCAATTAATTTCTTTGTATTTTTAGTAGAGACGGGGTCTCGCTCTTGCTCAGGCCGATTTCGAACTCCTGAGCTCAAAACAATCCGCCCGCCTCGGCCTCCCAGAGAGCTAGGATTACAGGCATGAGCCACCGTGCCCGGCCAAGAAATTATTTATTCTTATGACTTTTTGCTCATCATCCTGTGAGGGAGTGGAATGCCATGATTTTAACCCACCTAGTTGATTTTCATGGCTTTTCATCATCAAATGGCAAAGGTGAAATGAGGAAATAAGAAAAAGTTTTTAGAGGATGTGAAGCTCAGCTCAGCAAGTGTATGTGTTTATGCTTATTTTTTCCCCCTGAAAAACCTGTCTGGCTTGTGAGGATGCATTCTGAGGTTCAGCAGATAATTATTTGCTCTTACTGTAGCTATGTAGGTATTACCTAATCAAAAGAAACCATAAAAATGACTCAAACATATGCTTGAAATGCTAGTAAGTCCTGAATTCCTACCCACGCATGTCAGAATACCTGGGTCTTGATGGTGAAAGTAGAAGGCAGAAGGAGTGGAGTAGGAGAAATATCTTTTTTTTTTTTTTCAGATCTTCCTTCAGCCTAACTTGATGTAAATTGCTTTCTGCCAGCTCAGCTCAGAGGGGGTGGGGTAAGAGAGGATAGTGAAGTTGATGTCACAGAGGCAAGGCAGCAGTCCTCTATGTTCTCTAGGATGTTCTCCTGATTCCTTTTGGCCCATACATGGGGTGTTCCTTTTCATGCCTAACTCCATACAGCATGAATTCATTTAAGGTTCTTACATGTAATAGAAGAGATAATGACACTGAGAAAGTGGATACAATTTTTCCTTGGGTAGTTACAAATACTATACTTAGAATAATTCAGCCAAAATAGTTAGGTCGATTTTTAGTTAAAATAATTTCAAATAATTACAGTTTTGTTTGGGTCCATATGAATTTTTTTTAAAGAAATGGAGGAATTTTATAATTTCATTGCCAAAATAATAATATTAATACTTTTATATCAATAAATTTATATAATATTTATAAAATACTTGATGTGTCGTTTTGATGTCTGAGGGAGTTCAAGTTATATGATTATGAAATACTGACTGAGAGAGTATGTTTTTAGTGCTTTAATAAAACTGTAATGAAAACATTATTCTTTTCTAGGGCCTGAGGCTGAAAATCCTGAAGTTTTGTCACACCTAGAAAAGGTCAGTCTATATAATGGTGATTAACCATAGATCATGGATTTAGATTTTTAAAATTATGTTGATTAAAGTATCAAGTTTGTTTAGACTCTCCCCTAGACAGGAATATGACTAAACCATTTCAATAGATAGAAATCTATTCTTATCTAATCACCTCTTCCAGTATTTATTCTTCCTTATCTTTAATAAAATATTTCTTGATTTGTATTTTTTATCCAGCATTGTAAGTCTCTTATTCTTTATCTAGAGTAGAAATATATATTAATAACTTGTTATCAAACTAGTTCTTGAGATGATATAGCAAAATTGCTTCTGTTGGTTTGTCTGTTACCCTAGTTCCTTTAATATTTTGTGCTATGTATTGCTTTCCCATCTTCTAGTTGCTAATCAGTGTCAAGTGCCTGCTCTGGCTTTGCTTTCTATTTGTTGCTGTGGGGAATCAGAGTACTAAAGACTGGCTGTGCCCACAATGGACTCACACTCTCCTTAGGAATACCAAGCAATCAAAGACCTCCCCAGGCCAGCCCTACCATAACTATACCTTACTTCATCTCAGCTGTACCTTATACATTCTCACCTCCATGCTTTTGCTCAAGTCAGGAGCCAGAGGCAGGGGAAAGAGCTTAAAAATGTGGAACCAAAGAGGTCTAGGTTCCAAGGATAATTCTTGTTTACATCTGTAAAATACCAACCATGATATCTGTTTCACAGAGTTACTGTGAGGACTGAGCAATGATGGTTCATGGTGTTTGGCACCTAGTTGGTGCTTAATAAATACGTGTTCCTCCTTTCACTCTTTTACAAGTGTTTAATATCTGGCTCAAGTCCCTTCTCATCTGTGGATCTATTCCACCTGACTCTGGTGATCTTGACCAAAGTAATTGCTCCCTCTCTAGCATTCATTATTCAGTGACTATATCAGTATTTCCTGACCACTTGCACCATATGACACTAATAGATCTTCTGAGAAAAAAGATTTGTTGGACAAAAAAGTTTGGAGAACACTGTGTCCTAAAGTCTCCTTAGAGATTTACAATGCATGTACTCAGAAAAGTCCTATGCTAAAGTAACTTTGTTTGACCAAGTATTTTTCAAACAATCATGAAAATCATTCCCTCCATTTCTCCCCTCCCCAGAAAATTTATTCTTGCAAGACACTAGGCTCTATGGAACTGATTAATATACACTGGTTTATGCTATACATTTGATTTTATAAGTGTTTTGTGACACTATTTGTATTCTGGTTAATGTCTCAGGTATTTATGCCTTAAACCTTCAGTTAGAAATTAAGTTCCTTTAGGACAAAGCACATTGTACACACTTTATTACACCTAGTGCCTTGAATTTAGTACACATAAGAACTTCAAATAGGAGGAAGGGCCTTGAGCTGTGACTTACAGAATGGATAGGATCTGGTTCTTGAATTTCTTCCAAATTCCTTTTGTCTTTCTGAACAAATTATAGTTATCATTACTAATAAACAAATATATCTTCTTAAGCTTGTGCGCCATATATAGATAAATGGTGGCAGGTAGAAAAGGACAGGGGAACAATAAAATGGTTTTCACTTCTCTTATTCAAATCCGATCAGAATGTAGCAGGCTTACAAATTACTGCATATCCTGTCAAAGAGGAGGTGGATGTGATTTTTGGAAAAAGCTGAAGTCATTGAAACCTATTCTTTTATTTAAGGTCAATCAAATTTACAATTTTTTAGTGTTGGAAAAAATTTCAGTGCCTTTGGTGCACATTATTTTCTTGAATGGCTTATAAACTGATTTTGAAAGCAATTTCAAAAATAGGGATTTTAACAATATTTGGAGCATTGGAAACATTGTGAGAACAGGTATAAACTATTAAGGTAATATCTTTGAAAAGTAATCGTCATTTAGAAATGTTAAGTTTTGTGTTTTTTGTTTAAAATAACCACAACCCAGAGCCATTAATTTATAGCCAGGGCTTATAATACTAACACAGAATTGTGCCCTCATTTCTCCTCTTTTTTCTTCAGACCTCCTGTTCTTTGGCTTTTTTGTTTCACATTTACTTATTCATACAAAGGTGGGGAATAAAAAGATGAAATGACATTGATTTTATTCCTAGTAAATAATTTTTATAAAATGAAATAGAAATTTTTGGCAAAGGAAAATTTTATAACCATTAACTGCTGTGAAGTTTTGAGATCATCTGTTAATTTAACTATTCATGCCATCTCTGCCTCTTCTGTTAGCACAGATAATTTAAACTTAGTGGAACGATTTGGCATCTGCAATTATGGTCCAGCCAATTTCACCCTTGGTCCACTATTAAATGTTTAACCATGTGTTCAGTAATTAGTGATTTTGTATAGGAAAGTAGTAAAAAGTATTGTTTTATTTATGGAAGGGGAGAAATGTTGATAAAAATTTTGAGGGTAACTTATAAATAAGATAAACTATAAAACTGTAAAGTTTTCATTGTAAGTACTTTATTGGATATGCTGTAATGATATAATTTCTGTTTGGAATACACAGGACCTAAGTGAAGATGAAGACTCCCCTGAAGTTAGCCTTCTTTCAAGTACTGCTGTTATGGTATCTGAGGTGGTTGCTATAAAGGAGAAATCACTAATAGCACCAGAGAAGATCTTAGCAGCACCAAATACATTTTCTGAACCTGGAAAGGAAGTCACATTGACCATGACTTCTGAAGAAACTAAGGATGAAGAAAACTCTCTTGAAACTTTTGTGTCTGCCTTAGAAAGGTTACTGACATCGCCAGAAAGCAGCCAGGAGGAAAGATTGCTTGAAATAATCAATGATTTTGATCATAAAGAACTGATGAACCCATTGAGTGGTTCTCCAAGTTCCATATCAATACCTTTGAATGCCTTGTCAGCATGTCATAGAGATTTACTAGGAAATACAAAGGATGATGCATTGCCAGCTGAATTATTGGCAGCCCTGAATACATTGTCAGAAGCCAAGATGAAACCCATCCGTCATAGAAAAGAGGGAGGCAGCATTATCAATGCTGGAAATGAATGTTTGGAAGTGGAGTTCAATATGTCTCAGACCAATGAAGATGGTACACAAACAGCAAAGGTGAATTTTGAGTCTATTTGTTCTACTCCACCATTTGAGCAAGGTTCCACATTAACTAAGCTTCAGGACAAACATCTATCAGTGGAGCAAGTAGGTACAAATATGAGTCTATGATTTTGCCTTTTATAGTAACATTTAACACATTTTCATTGTGTTAAATTAAAATTTTCTACCCAATATCAATACCCAGAAGATAACTTTGTGACTTTGAAGCATACAGTGATCTTTTTAGAAATTCCTGGGCTAGAGATTTCAAGGAGTTAGGAAGGTATAATGGATAGATTTTTTTTTTTTCCCCAACAGACCTGAGAAGACATATCATTAGATTGCTTGTATATAGGAAGAAAAGAGTTCTTTACCAGAATTTTCTATTAGCTCAGAAAATCACTGTGTCTACCTGGGTGCACAGTAGAGATGGGATACCCCACATTTATTTATAGTTGAACATAGAATATATGCAATTGGGCTACTAGGGGAAGGAAAAAAATTATGCCTAGCTTAAGCAGAATGTTGCCTTTTATGTCTGAAAATACTGTCAGGTAGCTAAGCTGTTGGGGTTTAGAATTCCTGCAGTATTATGGCTATAGGCCCTGTAATGTCCTACCACTCACCAAGTCCTTTTTTTATGTTGACATAATCCTCATTGTTTTTTTTTTCCTAATCACAGTTAAAAATTTAAGTAATGACAGAATTGCATAACAATATAGTAACAAAAAGTCCTCCACAATTCCACTCTTTAGAGATAATCACTGTTAACAGTGTGGCGTATATTTCTCCAATTATTACTATCGTATTCTATATAAGTTTATTTCATACAAATGGGATTATATTATACATAATACTTTGCATCTTATTTTATAAATTTAATAATATACCTTGGTTATCTCTCAATGTCAGCAAATGTAGCTCTATTTAAGTCTTTTAATTTGCTGAGTAGTGTTCCACTGTATGAATATCTTGTAATTTACTTAACTAGTTCATTATTGATGGTCATTTGGATTGTTTTCTTTTCTACTTTTCATTTGGCCATTACAAAAATGTTCTTAGGAACACCTTGGGAAGATTTAGATAACGTAATGCTGATGTTGCATCATGTTGCATCATGTACACCTGGAATAATACTTCCTGCAGTTCTGCTCAACAAATCTCAAAACTGACAAATAGGGTAAAAAAAAAATCCAAAAAAGAGAAACTAATTATGGAGATAGGGCATAAAGATTAAACATTCCATTGTTTTAATATGAAAGGAGGAAATATGAGTAAAGCATAGGAAATTATGACTGGTATTGATAAAGTGAGCACAAACTTAGCAAATCTTCAAAAGAAAAGAAAAAAGAAACCCTTTTAAAAGTAGAAATGAGACTGACTTAGAACAAATCAAATTAAATACTCTTACTCAGCTGTAATAAAATACAGAACTTGTTACCTTGAGAAGCTTTGCAAACTGGATATGTAAATAAGCTCAAGAAAGGTTTAGATGATATGTATAAAGAATAAATATCCTCATGGAAGTTGAATCTATAATGAATTATTAAGAGAAAGAACAATTCATGATATACTGTTAACCTTTTAGAATCAATGTAACGGGGGTTATGTATTATCTATCCTGTTCCACAAAATATCACTTACTGCTGCTGTCAGATAACAAAATACTAGGCTGAATAGACCGTTGATCTCGCCTAGTGTGACATTTCTAATGTTGCATGGGTCTCTCATCATTCTGCATTTACTATTTCCTGCAAAATTAAAGTGCCCAGAATGACCATAGGCCTGCTCTTGAATTTTAAGGATAAATATTGATCAAAATCATTTTTATCTATGCTCTTCTTTTCTTAAGCTTTTAAATCTGCAATGTCCTTTATTACATTAATTATTATAAAATTTTTCATTATGTTCACATATGTCTAATGCATTCTTATACTTTCATCCTGTAAGAGACAGTTTAATCAAAGGGCAAGATAAAATTTAATTTCTTCTAGTTTTAATTTTTTTGTCATATTGTTATTAATTATTTGTGGATGTATTTATATCTTTGCAGAACCTAGAAGACCCAGATTCATTTGGATTGCAAACTTTGGCTCATCAAAATGTCACATCTTGTGAACCACTAAATAATAAGGGAAATTCAAATTTAGTGGAAAATAGCTCTGACCAGAAAACTGCACGTGTGTTAACGAGGTCATCCAGACTGGAAAAACTGAAAGTAAGGCGAGATGCAGAGCACACAGATGACATGTATAAGATGGCAGAAAAGATTTTACCAAAAAAACTTATCTGTGAGAATCTAACAAGTAATAACTCTTCAACTGAGAATTTCAGGTATGCTACCAAATTATGTTTCTCTCCAGGTATGCTGCAGACCTTGTAGATAACTATATGCTTGGGGACATTAGAGTCAGTATACAGTTACCCAAAAGTAAAAAGCTTTATTTTTATTTTGCTGATTTTTTTTTTATTTTACAGTTTTTGGTCAGTGCCATACCATACAGCAAGCTCTTTTTCCTTGCCTTTTGAATAGGTGAATAGAGTGGATAGTAGCATGCCAACTTGAGGATTGAGGGGCAGGAGACTCAGAATACTCACATGCTTGTAGGTAACTACCCCTAGAGAAGAGAAACCCATAAGTGGCACAAAGAAAGGGCTAAAAGCCATGATGACTGGCATGCCTGTCTCAGAATTATCTGCAGTTTACTCAGGAGCCATCTCCATATTTAAAACTGCCCTGCCATTCGAGAAGAGTTCAGTAAAATAGCTTCGAGTTTTAAAATTTTAGTCAAAATTTGGTATGATTCTCTGTGAATGCTTGTATAAAATATGATAGTAATTTCATAATACATTATTTTTCAAGAATGCCGGATCCTGCTTTAATGATTGAAGCTAAGGGGAAGAATATGCATTCATCCAGATTCAAGAGTGGGGAACAGATCAGGAAAAGTAAAAGACTTACAGGAAAAAATGGTGAGGCATATTTTGAGTATTTCTCTATTTCTTTAAGTAATTTACAGAAACAGAATTTTGGTAGAAAGGATTAAGAGATTATCTATCTCAACTTTCTCATTTTACTAATGAGGAAACTGAAGTTCATTTAAGGATTAACTGAGGTTAAGGATTTTTCCTAGCATCAAACAGCTCGTTAGTAGCATAACTGAGATTTAATCCTGAACTTCTAATTCCTAGGCTGGTATTTTTTCTGTATTTCTACTTCTAAGAAAATAGTTACAGAACCCTTTTCAAATTTAAATGTGTGACCAACATAGCATAAGGCTATGAGAAAGCATACCAAGAGAAATAGAGGAAAGGACAAGGCAAAATTGTTATTGTTCTTAGATCTTATTTCTATATTCCTTTCAACCCAGAAGATTGAACTAAAAAACTCTGAGAAACAGTAAGAGAATCTATCATAGGACCACTGGTTAAAAAATAATAATTAGTGGAGCAATCGGCAAAATTGAAATACGGATTGTAGAATAAATAATAATATTGTATCAGTATTAAGTTTTCTCAATTTGAAAATGCTGTAGTTATATAGGTATATATATATACTTGTTTTTAGAAATGTGCACTTAAGTATTAGTGAGTAAAAGGGCATGATGTATAAAAGTATTAATACATACATATGTGTCTGGGTATATATGTATGTATATACAAAGAGGGAGAAAGAATGATTTAAAGTCATGACAAACAGAACAAGGGGTGACTTCTTTGTTCTAATTTTACAACTTTTCTATAGGTATGAAATTATTTCAAAACAAAAATTTTAAAAAATTCAACAAACTGAACACAAAAATTAATACCTCTCATATATATTTAAGCATTAACTTGTTAGAAAATATGAGACGATCTCATTTATAATTGTTACAGAAGAAAGAAAATACGTACTTATATAACTAAGAAGAAATATACCAAATGTAAGAAGAGAGTTTAAAAATTTTGCCGATGGCCAGGCGCAGTGGCTCACGCCTATAATCCTAGCGCTCTGGGAGGCCGAGGCGGCTAGATCGTTTGAGCTCAGGAGTTCGACCCCAGCCTGAGCAAGAGCGAGACCCGTCTCTACTAAAAATAGAAAGAAATTAGCTGGACAACTACAAATATATAGAAAAAATTAGCCAGGCATGGTGGCACATGCCTGTAGTCCCACCTACTCGGGAGACTGACACAGAAGGATGGCTTGAGCCCAGGAGTCTGAGGTTGCTGTGAGCTAGGCTGACACCATGGCACTCTAGCCCCAGCAACAGAGTGAGACTCTGTCTCAAAAAAAAAAAAAGAAAAAATAATCCGTCTTCTCATACATGTACCTTTCATGGGTTTTCAAGTGACATACACTGCTTATCATGATTTATAGTTTACTACAAATATTTTTAAACTAATGACATTTGTCTCTGTCTCCTTTTTGTATGTAAATAACATTATAGTTGGGTTAATGGATAAAATACTCTTTCATAATATAATATACCTCACTTCTAGACTGTTGACTAAATTAATCCTGAAACCTGATACCTACCAAGTTTGTAGCTTGAAGTCTGTAGTTTGTAGTCTGTATTATTCCTGATATGCAAATAAGGATTTTTTTCTTTTGTTCATTCCCTCATTTCAGAAAAAATGAAGATGAATGAATTATCTCTTTCTAGCATTAATCGGAGAAACGTTTTTGGAGAAAACTTACTATATAAGGCTGCTCTGCACGATGATGTTGATCTTGTTCGTCATTGTATAAAAAAAGGTGGAAATGTTAATCAGCCAAGTAATGCAGGTAAGTTAGGGTTACCACCCACAGTTATCTTGAGAGTGGTTTGTAGTTTCAGCTGAATCACTCTTGTGAAAGAATAGCAAAGTGGGCCTGAGGCAAGTCCTAAACAAAAGGCTTTCAGGTAATTTTCTTTTTAAGTAGCTCTTCATCATTATCTTCTTGGGATGAGGGTAAAGTGAGAAGAGTAGGTGGCAGGAGAGGAGCATTATATTTCTCCTTGACAGATTATGCCAGGTGGGTCATGTGCGGTAGCATATAGAAGGATGGTTCCTGGGGATGACTTGGCATGGTCATTGTTACTGTGAGACTCAACCTTGAATGGAAGAGAAATGAGGTCAAAAGCTGATGGTACGTAGAACTACAGGGGAAAATTCATCATGAAATGATAGATGTACAGCAGTGGCCAGGGGAATGGAGAAAACAGAGTATGAAGTACAGAGGGTGGGACAGGGAGCTCAAAAGAGCAGCCTTTTTGCAAGGCTATGTCTCTCGTACAGTCTTCCTTGTGGGGAGAATCTTACATGTTCTCCTGGAGAGGAGTGATTCCTTAAAGATACTTAAGTACTTCATGCGCTAAACAGCACTGGGCCAACCTGGCTGGTGCTTTTGGGTGTCCATACATTTCCGATTGTTTCCAGACTTGCTCAATTTATGAAATAGTGCAAAAAGTCTTGTGTACAGAAATGGCACAACAAAATTCATGAACAAGCAGGTGATTACAAGTGTACCCCCAGTACTGCATTTAGCAAGGCCTAGGTTTACAGTATAATCAGCATGTTATTTAAAATCTCATACCCACGTCAATCACCATGGTCCTATAACCCTCAATTTTGCAGCCTTATTTGCTAGCCAAACCACTTGTTCCCTTGATTTCAAGAAATGTGTGGTTCTTTCTGTTAGTACTTTTTGCTCATTGAGTGCAGAACTAGCTCTATATGCAGTAGATTTTGACTTTATGGATTTCCCAAATATCTCCTAATATGTTTCTTTTCACTGGACTTTTTTTCTCTGCCAGCGTTGACATTCTCAGTGGTTGTGCCCTGCTTGTCTTCAGCCAGTTAATATATACGGTTTCCTCACTGCCCCAGGCACTTCTATGACCTTCATGAATTCTTTATCCTTACCATATTTTTCATGCTTTTTGAATTCTTGTTTTCTGTGTTTCCTTCTCATTTTGCATCTTAGCTCTACCTTTATTTCTAGCTACCATATCTCACAGAATTACAAAAGGCAGTGTTTCCACAGGGTTGTCTACAAACCATTTTCAACAGAATCACCTGCAATATTCATTTAAAATATAACTATCGCTTCACCACCCAAAACACATTCTCTTTCTCTCTCTCCCTTCCCCTGCCACATTCAAGAACTACTGGCAAGAGGCCTATGACCTTCATGTTGACATGTCAATTCAATGCAGTGAGCTGTTACAGTATGCCTCCTATGTGCCAGATACTGTGAAACCAAAAAGATTAATAATTTCTACTAGGAAGATTTAAATATATATGTAGGCTGAGTGCCTTGTGAGAAAGGAACAAAATAGGCTTGACATGGTGGCTCAGGCCTATAATACTAGTGCTCTGGGAGGCCTAGGTGGGAGGATCACTTGAGCTCAGGAGTTTGAGACCAGCTAGAGCAAGAGCAAGACCTGTCTCTACTAAAAATAGAAAAATTAGCTAGGCATGGGGCAAGCACCTTTAGTCCCAACTACTCGGGAGGCTAAGGCAGGAGGATGGCTTGAGCCCAGGAGTTTGAGGTTGTGGTGAGCTATAATGATGCCACTGCACTGTAGCCTGGGCAAGAGAGCAAGACCCTATCTCAAAAAAAAAAAAAAATCCAATTACTGCTTTGGCTGCATCCCACAGATTTTGATGTTTTATTTTCATTATCATTCAGTTTGAAATTTTAAAAATTTCTCATATGCTTTCTTCTTCAAGCCAGTGATTATATTAAAAATTGTTTCATTTTTAAATATTTGGGGATTCTCCAGATATCTTTGTTATTGAATTCTAATTTGACTAAAAATGATGTAGTCAAAGAATACACTTTGTATGGTTTTGGTCCTTTTACATTTATTGAGAGTTGATTTATTGCCTAGTATGTGGTCTGTCTTCGTGAATGTTCCATGTACACTTGAATGTTTATTCTTTAGTTGTTGGATGTAATGTTTTATAAATGTCAGTTAGCTAAAGATGTTGATAATGTTGTTCATTCATCTGTGTCTTTACTGATTTTTTTTGTGTAGTTGATCTGTCATTTACTTAGGTGTTAAAATCTTCATAACTGTGGTTGTGGGATTGTCTGTTTCTCCCTATATTTTGAATGTCTGTTACAAAGTACATACACAGTTGTGATTGTCATGTCTTCTGATAAACCGACTCTTTTAGCATTATGAAATGCCTCTCTTATTGCTTGGTAACGTACTTTATCTTGAAGTCTACTATACATGATACTAATATAGACATCCCAGCCTTCTTATGTTTATTGCATATTTGCTATATCTTTTTCCATCCTTTTGTTTTCAACCTGTCTTTATATTTAAAGTGTGTTTCTTTTAGATAGCATACAATTTTGCTTTTTTATCCATTCTGCTGATCTTGCCTTTGAATTGGAAATTGGAATGATTAGTCAATTTACATTTAATACAAATGGTTGGATTTAGGTCTGCTATTTTACTAATTGTTTCCTGTGTGCTGGCTTCATTTTTTTGTTTCTCTCTTTGTTTTTACAGTATTTTTTGGTTGTTACTCTAGGGATTAAGTATATACCTCTAATGTTTCACAGTCATCTTAGAGTTAATATTATAATGCTTCCTATAAACATATAAAATGTAAGAACATTGAATATATATAAGTCCATTTATTCCCCCATCCTTTGTGATATAGCTATCATATGTATCACATCTATATACATTATAGATACTAAAACATAATGTTATAATTTTTGCTTTAAAAAGCCATATGCATTTTAAGGAAATTTATAGGGAAAAAACCCTATTAACTATACATTTACCATTTTTGGTGCTCTTCATTTCTTCCTCATGATTTTATAATTAATATCATGGGAGAAACTCCTTTCATAACACTTTATGGCAGTGATTCTCAACTAGGGTGATTTTGCCCTCCCAGGCGACTTTTGGAAGTTTTTAGAAACATTTTTAGTTGTTACAACTGGGATAGGAGTTGCTACCAGCATTCTCTGAATTGACAAGGACCCCTGTACAGCCTTTTTATTTGGAGAGGTCATGATTACTTCCAAATATTTTACTTCTTTTCACATTTTTCCACAGGCTAATTAAGGGGTAGGAATTTGATTTGTCCCTCAAATTTATTGAACCCACCAAATAATACAGTGTGCTTTCATGGTGAGGCCGGGGATGCTGCTAAATATTCTACGATGCTCAGAATAACAAAGAAACGTCAAGCCCAGAATGTCATTGCTGAGATTGAGAAACCCTGGCTTATGGAGAATGTTCTGAAAAGAGCTAGTGAAATACTCTTTTAACATGCAAGTTTCAGGTTTTCTTACATCTATCATATGATTTATTAGAATTTAATAAATATCTGTAACTTATACCATTTGTCTTTGGCTAACAAAGAAACAGAATGTTTGTCTATCTGACTGGTTTTCTTGGAGCAGTTTGTGGTTTGTTAGTTGAACTACTCTAATTAGCTTTTTTTAAATAAGGAGAAAAAGAAATATATACTTTCGAACTGACTGATAGGTAATCTAGCCAACTTGATCTAGCCAAGGTACTAATTAAGTACCTTGAACTAGAAATAAAGCTTTTCTTCCCTTACCTCTGCAGAAAAGTAGCCTGCAACCAGCCTTCTCTATGAGTTGATAATGACTCCTGTACAGCCTTTTTGTTTGGAGAGGTCAGGTTTGCTTTCAAATATTTTACTTCTTTTCACATTTTTCCACAGGCTAGTTGAGGGGTAGGAATTTGATTTGTCCGTCAGATTTATTGACCCCACCAGATGTTACAGTGTGCTTTCATGGTGATGTTATCTTGTCTCATATAATCAAAATAATTTTAAAGAAATCTAGAATTAGAGTTTTTTTAAGAGCAAGCACAAAATATTATTAAGATGCCAAATATAAACAAATACCGTATTGTTTTTGTATAATAGGTTGGACAGCACTTCATGAAGCTAGCGTAGGAGGATTTTATCAGATAGCAAGTGAACTGTTAAAAGGTGGAGCAGATGTAAATAACAAAGGAATGTACCAGATTACTCCCCTACATGATGCTGTGATAAATGGACATTATAAGGTACTGTGATGCTTTTGTTTGCAGAGCAAATAATATAGTCTGTAAATATTCAATATCTTTGGGACCATGCAATAGAAAAACATACAGGAATTTCAATTTCAGTTCATTCTGCCAATGGAAACTCAGAATTTATAATTAAATTTTACTGTGTGATGGGTTTGTTGTGTCTAATATGACAGGTACCATTTTATATGTTACTTTTAATAACTATACAGAACATTTTTTGGTTACACATGGTATTTTTCCAACTCGCTCCCCTTTAATACACTTTTCCTATGGTGCTTTATAAGCATTAGCAGAACATTTCCTTCTTACAGTGTTACACAATGATGTCCAGTCCTGATAGAAGATTTACAGCTTTATGGAGTCTAGCGTCACTTTCAGAAGCAGCATAAGACATGAGAACCTCCCAGGGTTATCAACTTGTTTCCTGCGAAATACTCTTAGTTCAAGACCATTTAATGGTCAGTTACTGATTGGTCAGATGTTGTGTTTAACTTTCCTGAACGAGAAAATTTTTCACCTTTTACTCTTGAGTTTGCTGTGGCTTGTGGATTGTGTTCATTGTTGATGGAATTTATGAGTTTGGCCTGCATTCAGGCAGGGACTAGTAACTCAGAAGTTTCCTCTGCAATCTCTCCTCAGAGGATACAGCTTTGGGCATACACACAGTGTTCTTGACCACCAGGATGACTGTAATTTTAGCCGGGCTCCCTTCGACTATCTTATTCCCTGATCTCCTTATAAAGTTTCTGGTACTCTGTCTCCATTACATCATAGCCACCAGTTACCCTCCACTCATTGCTAACTCTCAGCATGAGATTCTGGTCTTGGTATGAACCTTCCTTTTCTTTTGAAGGGTAGCACATATTTGCAGGTGAGGAGTTTTATTAACCAGTTTCTTTCCTCTAGAATTTTGGCAGTCCTTGATTTCATCCTATCTCTTCTAGTCCATGCATGCGGTGTTTCTGCTGACCTAGCATTTTCAAAAAAACCTCGTAAACCTTGTGTGTTTCCTGTGTATGTCATGAATATTCACACTGTTAGACAAGAGGGTCTTTCACAGATTTTTCCACAATCCCATCTACATTCTTGTGTTCTGCTGAGATGGTCAAATGGTCCATGAGTAATGTGCCTATTCTCTTCAGCACTAGCAAAGGTTTTCCAGCTATATCCTTGGCCTACTCTCCAGAGCATGCTTTCCTTAGAGTGAATCTCCAAATTTTGTCATTTTTTTCAATCTGGATACACTAAGAATTTCTTAAATCATCAAGTTCTGGTTCCTTTTTGCCTAACAGCTTTTTCCTCAATTTATCTCTTTTTTCTCACATTTTACTATAAACCCCAAGAAGAAACCAGGTTGTACCCTCAATACTTTACTTGGAAATCACCTCAGTTAGATATCCAAGTTCATCACTTAGAAGTTCTGCTTTTCACACAACTTGGAGGACACATCTAGGCTTTTTGCCATGATACAACAAGGATATCCTTTCCTCCAGTTTCTAAAAATGTGTTCTACATTTGCTTCTGAGCCCTTGCCAATAGTGCCTTTAAAGTTCATTTTCTCACCAACATTCGATTTATGATGATATGTGCATTCTCTAAGATGACACAGGGTTTTCTACTGTGTTCCTCTTGCGCTGTCACTGGTAGAGGCTTTAAAAATCCATATTTCTACCAAATGTCTGTTCAAGGCAATTGAGGCTTTTCTTATCATGTGCCTCAAAATGATTTTAACTCTACCCGTTGTCCAGTTCCAAAGCCACTCCCACATTTTTAGGTATTTGTTACAACACCACCCCACTTGCTGGTACCAAAATCTGTATTGATTTCCTGTGACTGCTAAAAACTATTGCCACAAACTGGGTGGCTTAAAGCAACAGAAATTTATACTCTCACAGTTCTGGAGGCCACCAAATCCAAAATCAGTATCACTGGGCTAAAATCAAGGTGTTAATGGGACTTCATTCCTTGCAGAGGCTGTAGGGAATAATCCATTACTTGCCTCTTTCAGCTTCTGATGGCTGCCGGCATTCTTGACTTGTGGCCGCGTCGCTTCAGTCTCTTCATTTGTCTTCACGTTGCCTTTTCCTCTGTATGTGCATGTGAAACCTCCCCACCAACTCTTTCTTATAAGGACACTTGATACGGTGTTTACGTTCCACCCAGATAAGCGAAGATAAGTGCTTCATCTCAAGACCCTTAATTTAATCACATTTATAAAGATCCTTTTTCCAAATAAGTTAACATTTATAGGTTCTAGAGATGAGGACAGGGATGCCTTTTGAGGTGGGAGGACGTTTTCAGCCTACTGTGGTAAAGTGTGAGAGGGACTTTTACTTTCCACTTACTACCTTTCTGCAATTTAAAATTTTTTTTGGCAACATACAACTAAAACTTTTATGATTTCAAATGTTAATTAACATTAGCATGATAAATGGACACGCACACACAACTCAGAGTACAGAAGTGATTAAAAAGTAGTCTCAAAAGAGATGTGATAGGCCGGGCGCAGTGGCTCACGCCTGTAATCCTAGCACTCTGGGAGGCTGAGATGGGTGGATTGCTCAAGGTCAGGAGTTCGAGACCAGCCTGAGCAAGAGCGAGACCCCGTCTCTACTAAAAAATAGAAAGAAATGATCTGGACAACTAAAAATATGTATATAAAAATTAGCGGGGCATGGTGGTGCATGCCTGTAGTCCCAGCTACTCGGGAGGCTGAGGCAGAAGGATTGCTTGAGCCCAGGAGTTTGAGGTTGCTGTGAGCTAGGCTGACGCCACGGCACCCTAGGCTGGGCAACAGAGCAAGACTTTGTCTCAAAAAAAAAAAAAAAAAAAAAAGAGATATGATATACCTGAGACCACCTACTTATTATCTCAGAGGAGAGATGTATAACTTATTTAAAAGGCTGACATAATGTAAATTTATGATAGTTTTATTATTATAGGAAGATGGAGAAGGGATACTTGTATTTGTGAATAGAAAAAAACTTGGAAATTTATCTAATATCGAAGGTGAGAGAAAAGGATTCAAACTATTTTAGTAGACCAGGATGCTTTCTTATAAAAGTAAAATGTACATATTTTTAATTTTGTACAATATACAGAAATTCAGATCCTTCCTTTCATTCCAGACATTAACATGGAAATTAAGGCTTCTTTTAGTGTAATGTTACTTAAAGACTACTCCCCACATCCTCCCTGGCCCATATTCATTCTTTCATTAAACAACACTTTTGAACATTTACTTTATGCCAGATACTAAGATTGTCACTGGGAATATAAAGACAATTAAGACATATATCTGTAACAAAAGCTTCGAAGCAACTTAAACATTCATTAATAGAGTTAAGTAAATTGTACTACGTTCATACAGTAGACTGTCTCTCAGCTGCTGAAAAGAATGAGGAAGTGGGGTCTACACTGATAATGGAACAATCTCCATACTGTTGCTGGGAGGGTGGGGGAAAGAAGGCAAAATACAGTGTATATAATATATGACCACTTGTGTAAAAAAATATACACACATAAATATATATTATGCATACATACATACATACTTGTTGGACTAGACTAGCGCTGGAAAATTTCGGAACAGACTGTAACCAGTGCTCACTCAGGAAACAAGAGATGAGTAAAAGACACAGAGGTAGAGGTGGGAAACTTATTTTTTATTGGATACTTTCTGAGCCTTCTGTACTTTGAACCATATTCATTAATTTCCTGTTCAAAAATGATAAACGAATTTAAAAAGAAAAACATAGTCCCACCCTCAAGAAACTTAGAGTATAGTAGGAGAAGCAGATATATAAGAAATAAGTGGAATACAGAGTATATTGAGCACTATGATAAAATATATACATGAAAGGAGAGAGAGGTCATTTTTCTCTGGGGCAGCAGTGTGTGTGGGAGTGGGGGACAGGGAGAGCTGCATAGAGGAGGTTACTTGAGGAGTAGTAACCAATTAAGGATTGACTGGTTTCTCCCTGACAGTCTGAAGATTGGCAGCAGCAACACAGGTATAGATGGAAAACATAACTATCTCCTGTAACCTGTTAAAATTACATTTACTACTACAGAACCCAATGCTAGTTCTTGGTATTTCACCAGCAGCTGAACGGCAAACATTTCTTCCCCAACCTCTTTTTCTGCCTGCCTGCCTGCCTTCCCACCTTCCTTCCTCCTTCTTTCCTTCTCCCTTCTTTCCTTCTTTTCTTCTCTCTGTCTTTTTTAATAAGAGATTTGTTTATCAACAAATTATGATTTAGTAGCAACTACATTAATTCTTTTTTTATTGGCAAAGGTGTTACAGATAGACCCAAACTCTTGTGTTGTTGAAAGAAATATTTGATATTAGTTGAGAGTTGTATGCTGGCACACATTTACAATATTATAACCTTAATCTGGGCTTCCTTACATGAACAATCTTTTTCTAGATGACGGAGTTACTTCTTTTAAATGGAGCCGATCCATTATTTAGGAGTGACAGTGGACAGTGTGCTTTGGATGAGGCCAAGGATTCACGTATGAAGCGTCTCCTTGAGAGATACGTTCCTAAACATCAAAAATATCTTACATCAGGTAAGATTAAACAGCCCTGTTATAGCTGTTCATCACATCAGTAGAAAGTTATGGATTTTTTTTTAGAGAGTTACGGAAATTTAATTTAAAATTATAGAAATTAATTTTTTTCCCCACAAGTTTTGAGAAAATCCACCCAGTGGTGTATTTGCTCCATTCTTTTAATAAATCACACTGACTTGTTTACAAATGCACATGATAGGACTCTAAAAGAAAAAAGAAAGGTAATACTTTCCCCCAGGCTTTATATTGCAAACAGTTAAGAAATCTTTTAGAAATTTGTTTTTTTCCCCACAATCCTTGGCTGAATAACATGATGTGATGTAAATTATATTTGGTTGTATCTTTTTCAGTGAATATGGCCAGGATTGATTATATCCATTCCCTAAGAATCTTTCCTTACAGCTATACTTTTGTCCTCCTATCCATTACTCTATTAAATTGAACTACAAAAGAACTTGATCTGTAGTTAGCAATAAAAAAGGTTATATAAAAATGACTTCAATACATGGCATATTCTTTATACTCACTTTAATGCATCTGTTAGATTTTTTGGTAACATCACAACATTATTCTACTCAAAACCCTACAGTGGCTCTCCCTTTAATCTAGAGGAAAAGCCAATTACCTTATAATGGCCTACAAGTTCCTGTATCAGCTGACCATCCTGCTAATTAACCCCTTCTCCTACCACTCTCTATTTCCATTACTCAACTTCAGTCATGCTAGCCTCCTTGTTATTCCTCAGATATGCCTCCCTCACCTCCTGAAGTCTTAGTTCAAATGTCACCTTCTCGGTGAGGCCTAGAACACCCTATTTAATACTACAACTTCCCTCTTCCCACCCTTACTAGGTTATTTAATAGTTATCTATCACTATGTAACAATTACCCTAATATCTTGCACTTAAAACAATAAACATGTTTTATTTTGCCCAGTTTTGGAGGGTCAAGATTCTGGGATCAGTTTAGCTGAGTCGTTCTGAATCAGGGTCTCTTACAGGTTGCAATTATGTTAAGGCTCAACTAGGGCAGGAAAACCCACTTTCGAGCTCACAAGTGTGGCTGTTGGCCTGCCCCAGATCCTTGCTGGTTGTCAGCCGAAGGCTTTAGTTACTTGCTGCACGAGCTTCTCCATAGGGCTGCTGACAACCTGGCAGCTGACTCAGAGCAAGTGATCCAAGAGACAGACAATGTACCTGAGATAAAAGCCAGTCTTTTTATATCCTAATCCCAGAAGTGACATACCATCACGTTTTCTATATTCTTTTTGTTATAACTTGAGTTACTAAGTCTGGCTCATACTCAGCGGTAACAGAATTAAGCTCCACCTCTTAAAGGGAGAAGTTTCAAAAAATTTATGGATGTATTTTTAGAACCACAACCCTCACTCCAAACCCTCTTACCCTGCTCTACTTAGACTTCCCTGTAGCACTTACCACCTAATGCATTATACAGTTGACTTATTTTTTATTTTCTGTCTTCTTTATCTAGAATATAGGCTCCATGAAGGAAAGGATCTTTGTTTTGTCTATTGATGAATGCCAAAGTGTCTTGTACATAGTAGGCATTCAGCAAATATTTGTTGAATAAATAGTGTATCAGTCCTCTGAAACAAAAACAAAACAAATTCTTTCCATTCAAAAGATGCATGTGTGCTTCATTCTCGTTTGTTAAACTATATTTTAATAAAATTTTCCCCAATAGGTATTTTTCCCCAAAGGCTTTTAAATATTATTGTCTTTAACAACAGAAGCTTCTACCCTTGGAATAATCTCCCCTTTGTGCACAGGAAAGTTCAGTCTGAGAATCCTTCTATACATAAGATGAGTGGGCCTCCCTACAAGTCCTTCACTTCTCTCCAGTCAGAACACAGCTTAGGCTGGCAGTAGGAACCCATCCTCTGCTAAAGCTCTGTGTCTCCCTGGGGGCAAATAATACAGCTATGCCTATTGTGTCAGTTCTTTGATACAACTGTAAATTAAGTTCTTTGGTGGCAGGCAATCAACTTAAAGCAGAAAAGGGAGTCTCTTGGCAGGACAGTGAAAGAATTAAAGGAAAAGCTGAAGATCCAGGCCTTGGAAAGGTCAGGAATAAAAGCAGTTCCAGGGATCTAAGCTGCAGAAACCAGTGGATTCTCTTCAGAGAGCTGCTTATCTGGACAAGTGCTAGGCAAGCAAAACAATAAATGTTCACTAACCTACCTCCATTGGAATTTATCTGTTTTCTGTGGAGATTCACTCACTCATTCATTCATTCAGGGTTGCTATGTGGCAAGCACTACATAATGTTAGAGCCTAATGATACAAAATGAATAAGAAACAGGGATAGCAAACAATTTAATGAAGAATGTGATTTAAAAAAACTGTTCAGGCCATGTGAGAGTACATAAAAAAGATACATAGAGCAAGCTCCTTCATGCCCAAGAGGATAATGGGACAGATGTTACGTATACATCATGGTTAATGATTAAATGTCAACACAAACCTTTTGATAAAACTATTAGGAAAGATCTTTTCCTGATCTAAATGGTTTTAAATGAAATTTAAAGTACATTCCCTTCCTCAGTGGGGTTCTATTTAATATAAGACAGTTCTTCCAATTGTTGGGTGTGTCTGCTGTTGAAAATTAGGTGCAATATAGCAATCTGACTATAACCAGTCATAAGACTGGTTTTCTTTATGGCTGATCCATTTTATTATTTTATGACCACTTATTTTATGAATCATTTACTTGCTTAAGAAATATAATTGTTTGAATGCCATTGACTGTTAACTAAGATGTGGATCAAAACACCCTACCTTTATAACAAAGAGAGAGAACTTTGTTGATAATTGAAGGCCATCAGGAAGCAATTAATTAATAGTTTCTTAAGAGCAAAAGACTTCCTCTATAGCAGCTAGATCACACCAGAAGATAAGAAAGACAGACAGTAACTTATTGAGGCCAGGTCTACAAAAGCTCATTGAGATAAATTATTAAAACAATCATATTTACATTTCAAGCTGTATGAAAAATAGCAAATAAAGTATCCAGTTGGAGGCAACTGTATATTGTATATAAAAAGTATATTTTTAAATTTTTGCTTTGATGATCTGCTTAATTGCTGAATTTCTCTATTTTAAATAATCATGGCATGCATTGGTTTGCTCTACTGGGAATGCTTTCTCCAGCATTCTAATCCTTTCTCAAAACCCAGAATCTTCCTGTTTGCCAGTGCCCACGTCAAACCTGTACCTACCCAAGGGAATTTCTTTCATGAAAAGGAATCTCAAACTTTTCTACTTAGGACTTAGCTCCCATTCTTCCTTTGTAAAAGAATTTACTAAGCTGGGTTGCATTATCATGCTTCACCAGATGGTTTGAATATTTCTTAAGTTTGAACTTTCAAATTCTGTCATTAATTATTGACTACTTTTCAATATAAATGCAAAATTACTTTACTTAAAGAATATCTGTATACTTATACAAACAGAATATTCATTTTTAAATTCTAGATGAAGAGCTTTTAATTATGGGAATAATGAATAAAGAACTTTCCTCATATAAAATATATTTCCTACTTTTCTTAGAGTGAAATATATCTACATTGGTGCAGGACAAGATTTCATTTATACTAATTTTATAGTTTTATAGGTTATAAAACCTATAGGGTAAATTAATATCCCTAATTTTCTTACCTGTAAATTTGAGTTTATAATATCTACTCATCTACCTATGGGATTTTTAGTGTGAAGATTGGAGTTAATATATTTAAAATACCTTAATACAGTACCTGGTACATGATGGGAGCTCGGCGTGACAGAGGGAAAAGAGCACAACTACATCACCAAACTCACCACCTCAGATTTTTTTTTATCTCTGTGTTAAGTTGGTTATACCAGAGAATGTGAAGTCTTAAAGCTGAGAGGAAATAAAAGCCACTTTCTTCCTTCCACATTCCCTTAGGAACCATGTCTGACAGAGTGGTTTCTGGAAAATATTGTTTTTCTAATGTTTTATTTAAGAATCAAACTTTGGAAAAGGCACAGTATCCTTTATGATCTTAGAAAATGATAATAATAACAGTAATAATGATGTACCAGGAATTCCTCTAAACTCTTTACATGGATTATATCATTTAATCTTCACAACAATTCTATAAGGTTGGGATTATTATTAGCTTTCATGTACAGGCATTTTCTGGAGGGAGAAACATTAAGAAACTTACCCAGGGTCACCCAGCTGGTGAGCATATGAGTCAGGATTGAAACTCAGGAGTGAGTCTCCAGAGACTGTGCTCCTAGCCCCTTTGCTTGATAGAAGGATATTCTGTGTGCCTTTCCTCACCTGAATGAGGTGAATGGATGAATGTCAGGCTTCATCATGCACATCATAATTTGATTACTGTGATGGAAATTATTCCCAAGAAATAACTTACTCTCTTTTCAAATTATATCCTTGTCAAAATAATTTATATTTCTAGCTTATAATATATTTAAGGAAATTTGTATTCTTTATGTATTACATCTAAGATGTTCATTCATTTATTCCTTCCTCTATCAAATATTCATTGAATACCTTCTATGTGTAAACCACTATTTCTAGGTTTTTGTGGCCAAATGCATATATAGGTAACTATGATTCAACCTTCAGTATTTAAAGGAGGCAATGAAAGAGACACTAATGTACTTTCCTTTTATTATCAACCTAGGTTTTTTTTTTCACATCACCTTTTCCCCCCTATGCATTCACAAGATGATTGGCCTTTTCTATGTGTATATGTTTCACTTTGAAGAGAATGAAGCATTTAAACTAGGACCTTATTAAGCAGATGTATTAGGAGTAGATGATAACATAATTAATTATGAAAGAATTTCTTGCCTTATAAAAGTATCTTACATACAGTTGCATAATCTACTGAATGAAGAGGGTATAACTGGATATATCTGTGGGGAAAATAAAAAATACTGAGGTCAATACCAATATTTGGTATTAGTTATCTTGTTAGGTCTGTTTTGCTTTTCCTTTAGAGATGTTTTTAGCTCTCTTAAGATAGTATTTGGTTTCTAATATAGAAATTGTAAATTATAGGGATGTTATATGTGCCAATTTTAATATAAAATGTTTGTATAATGGACTTATTCCACTTGGTTTTCTCATGGCGAAAGACTTGGGGATTTTAGAAGTCTAGAGTTGATTTTCTCTTTTTGTTTACAGCTCAGAGGAATAGCACTAACCCATTAGACATAGAGGATGTACACCAGCACAAGGTATATCTGTGTTTAGTAATAAACATTTTTATGGGGATGTAACTGCTGGTTATTTTATAGATCATCAGAGGAAAAATAAAGACTGCTGGAACATTAGTAACAGTGACTTCACATTTGCTTCTAAGCAAATAATTACATGACAACCAAAGAGTTCTGGTCTGTTAGCTTGAGAAGCAACTGAGTAAATGTAGCATATCTGGGTATACTAATGTATTGGTAGCCATTTCCTTTCTCCTCCTCTTCATGGAGCCTGAGGTTTTTCAACCATGTCGAATTTCCTGTGGCCTAAACACAGTACAAGACTCAAAGGTGTCAGTCCATCCCTTCAAAACATGGTAGGCAGTTACTCTTTATCTGGTGCTTGAGTTGTGGTAAGTGAGAGGAAGCAACGTTCCTATTTTAATCTTAGCAGCCCACAATAATCTTTCATGCCAATTTAGGATTGTATCTGTCTTCTTATATTTAAATCCCTTTTCCACTGCTCTACCTGTAGTTCTTCCAGATACCAGAGGAAGAAACTCTCCAAATTCTAGGTCTAACTGTATAACAATTGGGAGAAGAGAGTGTTTCTAAAGCATTTCCTTGTAAAGGAAACTTTGATCTAATTAGTTTAAAAGCCTATACAAATTAAGTAAATTAAATTTTTTATTATATTTAATAAGATTAGTAGTGTAAAAAGGAATTAAAATGTACAGTAGGAAATAAAGATTAGTATACATACTGAGTCTAAATCTGTTATATTTGCCTTTCTTGTATTTGTCTACTTTTTTGAAATAACAGGTTGGATATATCCCTGTAGGTCCTGTGGTTAGATCAAAACATAAAATTGAATGGAATAATAGTTTGATATATCAACAATGCAAATTATATTTAATATAGAACTACAGCTGAAAATTAAAGCTAACTATATATTTTGTCTCTATAGAAACCAAAATTCAGTTCTAAAAATCGCATTTGGTTTGTTTGTAATGAAAATTCCAACAGACAGAAGCCAGAACACATAAAAATCAACAAAGGAAACAAAGAGGGTTTATTTATAAATAAAGAAGATGTATATGAATGTTACCAGAAAGATTCAGAAAACACAAAATTGTGTAAATCCAAGCATAAACAATCAACTGGTAACCAAATATACTCTACAGGACTCAGAAAAGGCAATCTTCATAATATCAAAGATCCCAGCACAAAGTTGTCTAAAGGTAAAGGAAGAAGAAACACACAACATAAAATGACTCAAGCAGATGATGGAGACAGCAATCCAAGAAAGGCACTAGCTGTCTCTTCTTCCAGGAGAATGAACAGATTGGTTACTCGTCGACAGCATAACCTGCAAACCATTGATGACCTTCCAGAAGAGGCATATGAACATTCCAGCCCAACTCTGTCAAGCCTGAAAAATGAATTAGATAACAATATTGAGGCTTGTTCAGTTTCCAAAGAGACACATATCCAGAGCATAGATTTGTCAGATAGTCAAGAAGCACAGTTCTTGGAATTAGAATCTGTTGATCAAACTGAAGCCGTTTCTCTCTCAGGACTGTCATTACATAAAGAAATTAAGTTGCCACTTGTTACTACAGATCAACAGCCTCATACTCTCCAAGAGCAACACAGTAGCCCTTATAAATCTCATGAAAACAGTAACTCAGTTGAAAAAGATGAGAGCCTTATTAATAAATGGGAAAATTCTTTCCTGTCTTTTATAAAGGAAAATTTTGATGATGATGATGATGATGATGATGATAGTGATTGCTCTATCTCTGAGAAGTCTGTAACATTTGAAAAGGTGATATGTTCCACAGATTGCAAAAACCACTGTAATGATAAAGAAAATACAACAAATCGAGAAGAAATGGCTTTTCAACAATTTTCACCTTCTGAAGGCCATTTATCACAGGAAAATGAGTTAAAAGCAGGCAGCCTAACCACACTTCCACAACAGGAAGCTGTTAATTTTTCTGATTCCGATAATACAGTCATTTCTGAACAACATGTTACAAATTTTGAACAATGTGTATACGGAACTTCTTTTGATCACTCAAACAGCAATCTTAAGCAAACTTCCCTGGCTTGTATGAGAACACTTTCAAAACATGAGGTTTCAAAGTTGACTAGTCATGTGGAGCTATTCAAAAAGCCTCAGGATTATAGCCCCGGAGCACCAGCTCCTTTAATGAATCAAACAGATGTACATATTGTGGAAAAGGTGACAAAGAAACAAGACACTGAAAGGAATTACACTGACAAAGGCCAGAAAACAAGTTCTTTAAATGGGCCTTTATCCACAGTTGTTGATTCTCAAGTAACAGAAATAACTGAAATTGAAAAAAGACAAAATCTTCCAGAGAACAGGACCATACATAATATAGATTTTCATTCTACTGACCATATCAATAAAGAATTGACCAACATCACACCACTTGGTCAAAGAGAAGAGAAGGAAACGTCTCACCAACCAGGTATTAGTAGTCTTGCTCAATTTGTATACATTTTCTATAGATTTACTTATTTTTATAGACATTTTCAACTGAATTTCACTCAACCTGTGCCCAAACTGAGAAAAATGAGGATATGTTGGCCATGATTTGTGATGCTGCTAAGACTAGTAGTTAAGTAATAGTGTTTACTTTGAAAGTCTAACCATCATTATCAAAGATGGTTGCTAAACTGATATTGACAGAAGTTAATAAACAGTATTTCTATTTTTGTTTCTTTTTAATATAGTACTTATTTATTATCAGGAAACCTAACAACATTTTAATAGCAGGAAATCATTGGCTCTATTGATTTAAACTATTCACTGAATTCCCATTAGAATTTTAGCCAACAAACTTTGTTTGTCATATAAAAACATTTTTAAAAGCTTCCATTCCCTTAAACAGTCTGGCTTATTTAGAGAACAGAAACTCTAAGAAAGTGTGAATTTTCTTTTCTAGTCATATAACCAACCAGTAAGGAGAACTACAACACTGATACTGTAAAATGTTTGTGTTTCAGTTGAGGAATTAATTTATAATATCAATGGAGATGAACATAATACAAGAAATTGTAAGGAGAAAAAAAAAACTGAGTCAGAAATTCATATACCTACTAATACCCAGGAACACAGAAAAGTTCAGAATTTCAGAAAAAGGCAAAGTTTCTTGAAAGCTACCTACAACCAAGGTTTGTATTTGTGTCATTGTATAGGTAAAAGTTTACATATAATCAAGCCTAGCAAATCCACTCTACTCAGACAATTTCTAAACTTTCAGATATACTGTTTATTTTTTTAGGTACTCACTAAGTTATAAGATTTCAGAGATATTTGCTGTTAAGGCACCACTTGAGAATACATTAATTTTCAAATGTATTCTTGCCTCCCAATGTATTTCTGCCTATGACTTCTAGTTTTTTATGTTAGAGGAGATAGGGTAAACAACAGAGACAGCAGCAGTATTCAGTGGGGGTAACAGAGATAAATTGTACCAGATCCCTTAGATACTTCCATTCAGCCCTTTCAACATAAGAGAAATTAAAGAAGAATAGCCACTAGTTTCTTTGTGATAGATGAATGAACTGTGTGTGTTTGGCAGTATGGACATGCTAACTATCCTTTGATAGTTCTCGTAGATAGTTGTGTGATGAACAATAGGCTGGTCCACTTCAAGTTAGAAGTTGATTTATCTGCTGTCTATTAAGAGGTAGGAAGGGCACTGGATTAGGCATTCTCTATGAATCTTCCCCTATTTTTCCCCTCTCATGTAAAAGGTAGCCCTTCTTATACTTACTTCCTATGGTGGGTTGAATGATGGCCCCCAAAACATGTCCTTTCCTAATCCGTGGAACTTGTGAATATTATCTTGCATGGTAAAGGAGTGTCTATTATCTTCTTTTGAAAAAGAGTCTTTGCATATGTAATCAAGTTAAGGACCTTGAGATAAGGAGATCATCCTGGATTATCCAGGTGGCCCCTAAATCTAATATCAGTATCCTTACAAAAAAGATAGGGAGATTTGAGACACAGAAGAAGAGAAGATGATATGAAGATAGGGGCAACGGAGTAATGTAGCCACAAGCCAAGGAAGCCAAGGAATGCTGACAGCCATCAGAAGCTGGAAGAGGCAAGGAAGGATTCTCCCTTAGAGCTTCTGAGGGAGTGTAGCCCTTTTGACACTTGGATTTTGGACTTCTGGTCTCCAAATTATGAGAGAATACATTGTTTTAAACTGCCCAGTTTGGCCGGGCGCGGTGGTCACACCTGTAATCCTAGCACTCTGGGAGGCCAAGGTGGGAGGATTGCTTGAGCTCAGGAGTTTGAGACCAGCCTGAGCAAGAACGAGACCCTGTCTCTACTAAAAATAGAAAGAAATTAGCCAAACAACTAAAAATAGAAAAAATTAGCCGAGCATGGTGGCACGTGCCTGTAGTCCCAGCTACCCGGGAGGCTGAAGCAGGAGGATCGCTTGAGCCCAGGAGTTTGAGGTTGCTGTGAGTTAGGCTGATGTCACGGCACTCTAGCCCAGGCAACCAGGCAATAGAGTGAAACTCTGTCTCAAAAAAAAAAAAAACAAAACCGCTCGGTTTATCGTAATTTGTTACAGCTAGCACAGGAAACTATATACCTTCCTAGCAGCACTTATTCATATTTAAATGTAATCTTTTGCATGTCTGTAACTCCGCTAGACCTTAAGCCACTTGAGCAGAGAGTTGAATTGCCCCAGAGGTAAGCATTGCAGATATCGACGTCTATTCCCTAACACAAAGGCCCGCTTAACTCCTGATCACCCAATAGTGAATTCAACCAGGTGCAGAATTCTGCACACTCCTCTCACTTTCCACAGATTTCCAATCAGGATTTTAGTTTCTTTCTTTTAAATACGAAAGGATAGCCAAAGATTGACAAATATTTGCAGAAAGCCCCAAAGTAAACTAAACAGACCAAAGGAAATCAGAAGTAACAGAAACAATGTAAGAATCAGGAAATATCTAAAACATAAAAAAAAAAAAAAGTATAGAAAAGAAGGAACAGAGAACAACACAGAGGTCTTAGATATTAAAAATATAGGAGAAATTAAAAAAAAAATATAGATATCTATGGCAGGGTTAAAAGGTAAAGTTTTACAAGTCTCCGACAAAGAATAAAAAAAGAAAAAGCTAGAAAATAGGAGAGAAAAGATAAACATATTGGAAAATCATTCCAAGAAATCCAGGGAGAACAGTGAACAGGAGAAGAAGTCATCAAAGAAATAATACAAGCAATGAAAAGACAGGAGTTTCTATATTGAGAGGCCCCACTAAGTGTCCAGTACAGTGAATAAGGCACCTCACTGTGAAATTTCACAACAGGGCTAAATGGAAGATCCTAAAAGCTTCCAGAGAAGAAAAACTGGTTACATACAAGGGAACAGAAATCTGAGTATTTCTTAATAACATTGTACTTACTAGTAGTAACCAGATTCCAAACCACAGTGGACTTCATGAAGAGGTTTAGTGTAAGTACTGTTTGGTTCCTTTTGAGTTTCTGCCAGATTTTATTTTAAATTTTCAATTAAATACTGTAGAAACTTATCATGACAGTAACATTGCATTATTTTTGAGTTTTTGCTCCACAATGTTTATCACATGGCTACCTTCCTTGCTACAGACAACTCAGGAGCAAGGTAAAAAGATCTCTAACATCCACAGTAAGAATTAATTGGGAGAGATTTTTGAGTTCAGCCTTGTAATCTCCAGGCCCAACCATCTTAGATATTTTGACTTTCAATTATTTTCTGTGTGTGTGTGTGTGTGTGTGTGTGTGTGTGTGTGTGTGTGTATGTGTGCCTTTAATTCTTCCAATAAAGAATTTCTGAGTACCCATCTCTAAAGAGCACTATGTTTTTGCTGGATGTCAACTGAGACTATCAGTCTTCCCTGTGATTCATGTAACCCAGGAATCTATTTTTTAGAGAATAATCCTCTAAGTTTTTATCTCTTGCCCTGAAGAAATTATATGCATAGTGGATGACATTTAGGAAATAGGGCAGGAAGGGTCCCAAAATTTAATGCAATGGTACTCAAACCTTAGTTTGCATCAGAATCATTTGAAAAACTTGTTAATACACGGATTGCTGGGCCCTACCCTCAAAGGATCTGATTTAATCGTTGTATTAGTTGTCTCTGTTGCTACATAACAAATTACCACAAACTTAATAGTTTAAAAGAATACACATTTATTATCACATAGTTTCTGTAGATCAGGAATTGGGCATGACTTAGCCAGGTCCTCTGACAGGAACTTTCCTAAGCTACAGTCAAAGTGTTGGCCAGGAGCGAGGTCTAATCTGAAGATTGGACTAGGGAAGGATCTACTTTCAAGCTTATGTGGTTGTTGGCAGAATTCAGTTCCTCGAGGCTAGTTGGACTGAGGGCCTTAGTTCCTAGCTGGCTGTTGGCTGGTGGCCATTTTCAATTTCTTGCTGCGTGGGCTTCTCTGCATGGCTGTTTGTATCATCAAAGCATACAGACTGAATCCAATAGATCAAGTCTGCTAGCAGGACAGAAAACATTACAATCTCTTACAGCCTAATCAAGAAAGTGAAATACCCTCTCAATGTTGAGATATCCTATTGATTAGAAGTGAGTTATTCAAGAAGACGGGATTACACAAATCCATAAATACCAGAAGATGAGGATTATTAGGAGCCATTTTAGAGTCTGCCCTCCAGAGTAGGTTTGGGGTAGGCTGGAGAATTTGCAAATCAGTGATACTGACACTACAGATTTAATGAATATTCTTTTCTGTTTCATCACCCTAACTCTTTATTTTGCCTTGCCTCTCAATCTGAAGCTTCTCTGATACAGTTTCTATAGAAAAAGAAACCTTCAGATTCCTGGTTTTGGATTGGGGAACTGGGATAAGAGGAGTCAATTTAGGAAGGGAAAGGAACTTGGAGTTCCAACTTTTCTGTATGTAAACTTTTTAGTCAGTCTCCCTGTTTCCAGCCCCATTCCACGTACCTGCCTTCCATGGCACCTAGTGTCCCCAAGTGCTGAGTGCCTGGGTACAGATTGGCTCTCTTTCTCTATAATTCTCTTTGCAGACTCTTGGGTTGGAGCATTCCCCACTTTGCCAAGTCAGTTCACTTCTTTCCATTAGTGACTTTCCAGTTCCCCAAAATTTGTTGAAGTCTTTGTCCTCTATTGTTTCCTCTTCTATTTTCTTTATATGGTACTTTTAGAATTCTTTTTGTGAACTAAAATAAAATTTTAAGGCTCACCCCCCTCACTGGCTGACTGAATGGACCCCCTCATGGCCCAAGGAATATCCTAAAACTAAATTGCCTGCCAGGAGGAGCAAGGTCAGACATGCCTCATCATGCCCCCCTTCCTTCTTAGGGACATCCTTTGTAACCCATTAACAGGCCTAAGGGTATGCAAGACAAACCTGCAGGTCCTCAATTTACAAAACAAATCTATGTCTGGTGACTTATCTCTGATGAACAGCTCCTTATGTTAAAACATTCTAAGCCTTTAGACAAAGCTTCATGTCTTTAACTAATTACAAGCCAAAGAATCTTTAAACCTATCTATAACCTGTAAGCACCCCTGTCGCCCCGGAGATGGCCCACCAATGTATGCAAACCAATGTACAGATTGAGAGGCAAACCAATGTATGCCTCCCACGTATTGATTTATGACTTTACCTGTAACCCCTATCTCCCTGAAATGTATAAAACCAAATTGTAACCCAACCATAGCGAGTCCACTTGTTCAAGGCTTCTTGGGCGTGACTCCTGGTCATGATCCTCAAATTTGGCTCAGAGTAAATCTCTTTAAAATTACTTTACGGAGTTTGGTGTTTTTTTGTTAACAAGATACTGTCATTTTGGCTTGGTTTAACAGGAAATGGGGGAAAAACATATGATCAGTCTATTACTTTTAGTTCCAACTTAAGTCTCTCTAACTTGCAAATAAAAGATTAAATAAAAAAAGAATCTTTGAACAATGATATTATACTACTTTTTTGTGAAGGAAAAATAGAAAACCCAGTAGGCCATAGATTGGTACGTGGTATCTGTGTGATTAGGAATACACCCATTGAAATAAAAAACAGCTGTAGAAAGAGGATTTTATAATATCACAGTTGATTTTAAGAAAAATTTTATACATTGCTAAACAACTACCGAAAATGAGGTAAGTGTAGAACTGAAGCAAGTATGTTTTAATTAAATGTTTGATAGAGTGACTAATCAACTGCTAGAATGAATGCAAGTACTGTGCTTGGATGCTGTCTAATTTCATCACAAGTTATACTTTAAAACAATAACAGCAATGATAATATTAATTGATGTATGTTTCTGTGTAGTGCATTCTACTTATGATATTTTGAGGAAGTTGTTGTTTTCTAAGATCCTTTATAGTAATCAGCATTTGGTAGAAAAGAGGCCTCTGTTTTGCTTGGCAAATTTACAGGAATGAAAACAGCTGGGATCAATAAGAGGAATGCTAGAGGCGAAAGCCGGCTTCATGTGGCTGCCAGAAGAGGAAATTTGTCTGTGGTGAAAGCTCTAATAGAATCTGGAGCAGATGTGAATCTAAAAGATAATGCAGGTTTAGATCCTTTTAGTTTAATTGTCTCTATAATTTGAACTCATTGAAACACACATTTCAACACCCCCTCCCAAATTTGATGCTAGCTAGTATGTAACTGATAACTTTGAACAATCTTTTTAAAGCTATATTATTATTTAGTCGAATAGTAAGATTTATCATTGCTAAAATAACTTTCTCCTTTGAAAAAGTTTTAACATACATTTGAGAGCGTTCAGAGAGGGTATACAGAATGAGGAGTGAAGGGAGTTAAGCCTTTTCCTTGGAAACCTTAATTCCATCCCCTAACCTTGGAGAGATTACAACATTTTCTCATTTTACTGTCCTTTCTTCTCTTTCCTTTTTTCTTTATACTGTTCCTTTTTTTTAATCTTCCCTTATTTTTATTCTAAACCTCCATTTTAAAAATTTATCTTCTAACATTTTGCTTAAGCACAAAAGAATCTTGTGTGATGACTTCCACAGGGAGAAACTCAAAGATTGGTCACATTAGATGTCATTTTAAAAGAGAAATGTGACAATACAAAGATATGAAGATGAAAGTCAGACATTTTAATGCCTGAGTTGAAACAAATTGAAATGATTAGTATTTACTCCGGTGTCATTATGTTTTACATTCTATGAGTCTTCTGCTTTGGCATTTATATCAAGTATAACAGATCAATCTTTTCTCAGAAATGAAACTTACACATTTTAAACCCATAGTTTTCAGTATTATTTCTTGTCCAAAACTTAGTATATGCATATGAATCAGTATAGATATTAATTCAGTTAATGCAACAAAACCTAATACAAAGATACTACATGAATGTCAATTTGTAAGGAGCAGGGTTGGTCTTGGTTTTTTTTTCTTTTTTCTTTTTCCTTTTTTAGGTTGGACACCACTTCATGAGGCAGCTCATGAGGGATCTGCTGATATAATTGTGGAATTATTAAAAGCTGGTGCTAATGTTAATAGTGAAAATCTAGATGGAATTCTGCCCTTACATGATGCTGTTGCAAGCAATCATTTAAAGGTACAGTACACATCAGATTAGGTTTCTGTTGCTTTTTCTTAGGAAAATGAGTGAAAAAAATGAAAATATTTTAAACTAAAAATAAAGTGATTCCTTAAAACAATTACTTTTTAAAACCTGCTTAAAATTACAAATGAAAATACAATATTGTATATGGATTGGAAAATCAATATATATTTTAATCATTGTTCCATTGTTTCTTCATTATATAATTCATGTAAGTCAAAAGAAAGTCAGAATAAACACAGGCTATAAGTCTAATACATCCCATTTTTTTTTTATTTCAGCATATTATGGGGGTACAGATGTTTAGGTTACGTATGTTGCCCTTGCCTCCTCCCTCTCCCCCAAGTCCGAGTTTCAAGCGTGTCCATCCCTTGGATGGTGCGCATTGCACTCTTTGTAATACATCCCATTTTTAATTGTCTAAGATGATGTGCTATTGTGCACAAGAGTCTAATTATAGTGATGATACATGTGACAGCTAGACTTTTTTTTAACTGAGAATTTCTCAATGGGTTTGTGACAGACACATGAGTTGCTTATTTCCCGAGTGTTTAATGTGTCCTTTTCTCCTTTGTTTTTCATTATGAAGCAGCCGTGGTAAAAATATCACAAGAGATTACTAGGGTCATTATTTTAGTGATATTGAATTTCAAATCTAGACCTTAAAACTCTTCACATTTTTAAATTCATCTTTTTGTTTGATAAATTTTGTGAGAAAACTTTTATTGTTATCAATAGGAGATATAGACTTCAGGGATAACTATTGATTTTGAAAAAATAGTTAAGGAAACCACTACCAACAACAATATAAAAGCAGGGTTCATATAAAAAAACTCCTTGGATCCCTCATGAATACCTATTTATCTGTCTCTGTATATTTTTAAGAACCTGCTAACTTTTTTTTTGGTGATGCGGTCTCACTGTGTTGCCCATGACCTTGAACTCCTGGGCTCAAGCGATCCTCCCACCTCAGCCTCCAGAGAAGCTGGGACTACAGGCATGTACCACTATTCCCAACTGAGCCTGTTAACTTTTATTTAATTTTGCGAAAGTATATCTTTGCTGTTTTCAGCCTAAAGATAGTCATGTAAAGGGATGGTATTATTGAATTTATGATTTGTAGAGAAAAGAGATGTGAACTAATGATTAAGAATAATACCAGAGTGAGTAGTCTAATATCCAGTGTGACTTCTTTTGACTAAAAGAAGCCCTTTTGCCTTTAAGATATTTAAATTTAAAAAGAATAGACAAATTCTCAAGGCTATATGGTTACAAAATGAAGAAAGAAAACAGAATCATTAAAGTGATGAACCGACTGGTTATTTGTACGGGGTAAAAGGCCACTCAAAGTGAAACCACTTAAATAAGGGTCAAAATGTCATGGTGGGAAAATCAAGTTTTTGGACATTATCCTGAAAAATGCCACATAAAACAAAGAGTTAATTCTCTTGTTTGTATTTGTGTTGAGAGTCACCAATATCACCCCTACATTTGGAGATTTGTTAGAAGGACTTATAGAACTTAGTATATAGTTGTGCTTGTGGCTAAGATTTATTATACCAGTGTAGACCAGGATTTCTTAACCTTGACATTACTGACATTTGTTGCTAGGTATTTCTTTACTGTGGTGTACTGTTCTATCTATACATTGTAAGATGTTTAGTAGCATATCTGACCTCTACCCACTACATGCCAGTGGCACCCACATTCTCCAGTTATGACAAACAAAAATGTTTCCAGAAATTCCTGAGTGTACTCTGGGGCACAAAATCATCCCCAGTTGAGAACCACTGAGTTTTACATACAGACAATTGATCAGAATAAAGTATCTAGAAAAAGACTGTTGCATATGTAGTCAGTTGGTTTTTGACAGTGGTACAAAGGCAGTTCAATAGAAAAAGGATACTCTTTCAACATAAGGAGTTAGAACCCTTGCATTTCGATTTGCAGAAAAGAAATGAACCTCAAAAAAATGAACCCTTAATTTTCACCATATATAAAAATTAATTTAAAATGGATCACATCCACTTGGCCTAGCTCTACCCTCCAACCCCCAAGTGCTCAAGCATGCTATCTATCTAGGGGCCTGGGACTCACACTGCCCATCCCTCACAGTTGACACCTGAGCATTTCTCCTGGTGGCCTGAGAACAGGCCCACCCAACCTACAGCTACCACCACAGCTGGCACCCACACCCATACACTACCTGTGGGCTTGGGGACTGCCCTTTTCAGCCCATTGCAGCCACTAATGCCAGTATGGACTGCTTGGGAGCCAGAGCGTTGTCCCACCACTGCTACTGCCATCGCCCATACCGTCACACCCAATACCCAGGGGCTCAAGCATTGTCCCACCTGCCTGGTCCACTGCTGCCACTGGAAGCACCCAAACAAGCTGCTTAGAGGCCCAAGAATCAGCATGCCTGGATCTGCTAACACCAGTGCCAGCGTATGCCACCCTGGGGCTTTGAGTTACTCAGAGCAATCTTATTTACACTAGAAACTTTTCTTCTCAAAAAAATGTCACAACCTCTTTGACCCTAGTTTCCTTTTCTTTAAAATAATGGGGTTGCAGAAGATTATTTCTAAGTTTCCCTCTATCTTTAATATTCTGTGAATATAAGTCTGTTATTTAGGGCACATATTTCCATAGGGAGAATATTAGAATGGATATTAGGTTCCTAAGCTAGTTCACAAAACCTCTTGAACAAGTAGTATACCTAAAATATAGTCCAACTATTAATAGAACTTTATTCAATTATGTCTAATGGCAATTTATAATACAGTTTATAATGTAATATAATCCTGAAGCAACTCTTGCCCCCTTTTCTATTCCATCCTCCAGCACCTTGGGGAAGAGCAAGAAGCTATGTTAAAGAAATAGGGTAAATCATTCTGGGTACCAATAATTCCACATTTATATACAAGTGGCTTAATCTGCACAGTATCTAGACCTGTGCTATCCCATATGGTAGCTACTAGCTTCTTTTAGCTATTTAAATTTAAATTAATTAGATAAAATAAAAAATTTATTTCATCAGTTACATCAGCCACATTTCAAATGCTCAGGAGCCATATGAGACCAGTGGCTACCCTATTGCACAGAGCAGATATATTAATAGAACATTTCATTGTGCCAGAAAGTTCTACTGGGCAGTACTGATCTAGAACTGGACCTACCCATGCCTACCTCTTACTGTAATGAAGGTAGCATATTATACTTTCATGTCATTGTGTTTGATTCCTTTTTGAGGACCAATCAGGACAAATATATCAATCATTTTGATTGATATACCAAATATTGATTCCTATATCAAATACATATAATCAACTATATTTGATTATATCAAATTTAAATAAAAAATTTTCTTGACCAGAATTCGAAAACTTTTTTCCGTAACTTTTAATGCTTGGTAGTAGTGTCTTGTGATGAAAGTAGAAATGGTTCATCTTAGGTGTCTGTAGAGGTAACTTTGAAAAAATACCTTATAGGCAGCTGAGATTCTACTACAAAATGGAGCAAACCCTAATCAAAAAAATCAAAAACAGAAGACTGCTTTGGATGAGGCAGATGATGAAAAAATGAAAGAGTTGTTAAAATCTTACGGTGCTATTGAGATCAATCATAGAGAAGAGAGTAATGTTACAATCAATGGTATGTATATCAGTATTGTTTGCTATTTTATACAGGTATATACCAAGTATGCCTTTGCTTAGGAAAATAAAATCTTCTAATTTGTAGAGTATAGATGTGTCCTGTGTTTATTAAACTCTTAAAAAGTTATTTATTTTTAGAAATTAGCATTTTCAAATTGATTTAATTTATAAATCATATGATCCTATTGCATTGGCATGACATGTTGAAATGAAGCATATATCATTCATCAGTCAAACACTAATCTCCCTAACATTGGGTTTGAAATAGAGACGTAACTGAAACCAAGTAGACTGGTTTACCTGTAGTGGGGCTGAAAAGGAGTGACATTATACTGAAATCTTTGCAACTAAGACTTCATTACTTAAAATTTATAATGATTTATACATCAGTTGGACTTATGCCAACTTTTCAAGAATCTAATCTAATACTAGCGTATTAATCTGTTAAGCAAATATACTTGTGTGTATATAATATATATTATAGTGAAAAGAATAGGGGAAAATTTTATAAACCATTTTTTAGCAATAGTTTGCATTTTATTAAGTATTGAGGAGAAGCAATTGTTCTTCCTTTTTCCTCATGCTTGAGCCTTGACTCACAGAAGAAGATACTCAGGAACATACCTGCCCTCACTATGAGGGAGAATGCTAGGGAGAGAAACTCTGTCACACACTTCTTCTCTAACCTACCAACATCCTTGCCAACTGTTGATTTTCAGGGGAACAGTTACTGATATGATTGGTCAAAGCCAAGGATAGTCATTGTGTTATATTTTACTAGCAGGTTAGATCACGTGTAGGTCAAGGCCAAGACTGGTACAAATTTCCTCTTTTCTTTGCCTGCTACTATATAGAAAATCATAGGGTCAGAGCCTTTCTCAGGGCCCCAGCTATTTCACTCTCCCTCTCTATAACCATATTTGAAGGTCCCCATGATTTAGATCAGCTTGGCTTTCCAGAGAAGCCTAACATTTGGAGTTATTGGGCACTCTGTTACAAAGTGCTGTATCTATTCCCACATGTCTGTTGTTTTTTGTTTTCCTTGATCAAGTACCCAAGAGGGACGAAGGATATAGGGTATAATGGTAATATGGAGAAAAAGAATCCAGAATGGGATGAGAGTCCAAGAGAACTTTACAGAGGCAGCGAATCATAGTCATACAGACTAAGAGCATAGAATTTGGAGTCAGATAAAATCTGGTTTCAATACTAGCTGTGTGATGTTGGGGAACTTCCTGAACCCCTCTAAGCCTCACTTTCCTGTTCTATAGAATGGGTATAATAAACTACCTACCTCAAAGGATTCATATGAAGATTAAATGATTCAAGGAAAGTATTTGGCATCGAGCATGTGACAAGTGCTCAGTAAATGTCAGCTATAAATAATAATAATGAGGTGCTAATTAACATGAAGCTATTATAATAATTGTAGACTTAATTTATCCTTCCCATCTCTGTCACCATTAAAACTGATAAAATGAAGCTAAATTTTTTGTTAAATTTCTTTTCTTTCTTTCTTCTCTTGCTTTTTTTTCCCCACTCAAAATGTCCAAGGTCTAAAAGCTAAATTTTTATACATTCTTATTATATTTTCTGATTTTATTTTTTAAAGTAGAAATTCCTGCTCTCCGGTTAAAAAGACATAAACAAGGTTTTTGTGGTGATGGAAAAACTGTCGATCCACCTTCCTTTTCACACCAAGGAGAAACAAGAGAAAACCTTCCTGTGGTTAGTAAAGTTGAAATTCTTTTCATTCTTCAGCCTAGAAAATGCCATTCTTTGGGCCAGTCAGGTATTGGCTAGTGGTAACTTTCTTTTCATTTTAAGGATACACAGATTGAAAATAAGATTGCCATAAGAAAATAAGATAGCATAATTGAACAGAATAAGCCAAGAAGATATGCTATATGGTTAACTCTTAATTATTTGCATTAAATACAAAATTATGGATTAGCTGCTGTCCTTTACACCTAGCTTGAATTTTGGCTACTTCCTGTCCCACAGACACTGCCACTGTATGAGTGTGTCTTCATTCACCCCTAAAAGTGTCCAGGATACATAGGATGTGGAAAAGTTGATGGAACCCACACAGAGAAAAGGAAAGCAACTGGTTTAGCTTTTCTAGATCCCAAATGCTTTAAAGTGATAGAATTTGCTGTGAAATCCACCATGTAAAGGTAGATTTTTACAAAAATAACATAACGGTTGCTCAATAAAATATATATTGATTGATGAGAGGGATATTCTACGTTTGACAAAAACAGAAAGCTTAACTAGACACAAACTTGTTAAGCAAGGCAGCATCCTCAGTGATGCTGAATAAGTGTTGTTTTTTTTTTTTTGAGACAGAGTCTCACTGTGTTGCCCAGGCTAGAGTGCCGTGGGGTCATCCTAGCTCACAGCAACCTCAAACTCCTGGGCTCAAGCAATCCTCCTGCCTCAGCCTCCCGAGTAGCTGGGACTACAGGCATGTGCCACCATGCCCGGCTAATTTATGTATTTTTAGTTGTCTGATTAATTTCTTTCCATTTTTAGTAGAGACAGGGTCTTGCTCTTGCTCAGGCTGGTTTCGAACTCCTGAACTCAAACAATCCGCCCGCCTTGGCCTCCTAGAGTGCTAGGATTACAGGCGTGAGCCGCCGCGCCAGGCCCTGAATAAGTGTTTTGAATAGACTAATGGCATCCATAAGAAAAGCAAGACAAAAGGGAAAGTCGGCACTAAAAGATGTTTTCTTTTGTGAATAGAGGCTTGGCTGGGGGCACAAGTTCAGGCCTTTAGTTTGCTTTCATAAGCCACTGTATTAAGAGGTAAACCTTAGTGGTTTTGTTTGTTTATTTGTTTTGCATATTTATATTTTATAGTTTCACTTTGATGCATTTAATAAATGACAGCAGTAAGAGTGCCTTACTAAATAATCAGATGATTTTATTATGTACATTTTTTATATCCCTTGAGGGCAACAAAGTAAAATTTCAGAGAAACTTACTTCAGAAAGCTTTGAGGAGCTACATGTTTTAGAAATGAATGTGTATTGAGAGTATATTAAAGGATAGGTAATATGGGTCAGTCCTGTCACCATTTATGGAGCAACAGCTATGTGGAAACAGTACACAAATATAAAAGCCGTGTTCTTGCCTTGATGAGGAAATATTAATATAATGTGTAAGATATTATATATTAAATATGTAATGTATAAGATAACATATATTATATAATGTCTTATACATTGTATTTTATATATATAATGCTAAATTATGTCACAATGAAATTCTTAAATAATTCTTAGAAAAGAGAAATTGGTATGGAATAGATAAATCAGAAGTTTTATATATAGGATGGGTTTTATACAATAATAATAAGCAGTTTTTAGTGAGCTCTTACTTTGTACTGGCATTGTCCTTAGCATTTTACATGTGTTACTTAATGCTGGCACAGATAAGTAACTTGCTGGAGTCGCCCAGCTAGGATGAGGTGGAGCCAGGGTTCACACTGAGGAAGTGTAGTTTGTTCCAGAGCCCACTCCACAATCCTGTCTCTCATAAGAAAGAGAGCAATCTGGGCAGAGTGAACCGAAAGCATTCCAGGCAGGAAGATTAGTACTGACAGGGGCTTGAAGGGGTGGTATTAAGTCTCCATTGTGAGTTTTTGGGGGAGTAGTGTTTGTATTTCTAAGATTATATGTGAGATTTTAATAGTGTGCATTGAGAGTCATAAAACCTTAAAGTGAACTTGTTGCGTGTGTGTGATCTTTAATATTCTTGCTGTTTATTTTTTTCTCCTATGACTATAATTTTAACAGAAGTCAGTGAGAAATTATGATTTTTTTATATGGTTGCTGTTCTTACATTCTATTTTCCAGGAGATCTACATAAATCAAGATATATTTAAGTTTACTTTTTTTCCAAATCTGCAACATTTATACAGTTAAGTTACACAAAGCATGAGTAGATTTTTGAGCATAAAGAGAAATGAGCATTTTTAGGAGCACTTTCTTTAGCACTTTATTTACTGTGCATTGTCAGTGGCATATCAGAGAACACATCTATCCCCTTATAATGAAGTTTCTAATATTTTTATCTGATAGCATCAGACACTCAGTGCCATTCTGCAAGATATAGAAGAAAAACAAGAAAATTTATTAGCATTTGAAATAAGAAACCCTGAAGATGCAGGTAAATATGGACTCATACTTAAGTTTGATTATTTCAGACATCCAAGGTCATCGCTGCCTCATCTTCTTGAAGTACATGTTTACTTCAAAGCTCACAAGGGCTGAAAAAGTGGTCTCCTATTTTTATGCAAGAGTATTTAAAGTTCCAGGAATTATCATTGAAAGTAACATAATTAAATAAGCCTTAATTTAGATATCTGGGCCATTAATATTGGGGAATAAGGTAGGGAATAATGGCTTTTTAAATTTAAAAGTGGGGCTAAATCCTGTGTGACCAAATTTTAACATTTACTATCCCTCAATTAACTAACTTTTTATTACCATATTTCTAGAACAGTACATTGAGAAAATGTTGAAGATAAAAGAGATTATGGATAGTGTGCTTGCCAAACAGAAAGCAGAAAGGGATGATCTGGCTAAAAAATACAGGTAAGTGAAAAAAATGAGAGTCCTTTAGAGTTTCTGCAATTTAATCCATTTATAGCTGCAATACTGAGGCCTAGATTTTCTTAACAATACGAACATTAAGACCAAAAAATGACTTTTTGAGGCTGTCTGTTACCTCCATGGGGAATTATACTTGCTGGAAAGATATTTTTCTACTTTATTACTTGAAATATTCAGAAAAGAACATTTTAATATCTTAAAAGGTTGTCTACAGTGAAAAATTTTTATGAAAGCCCTTCTGGTCATGAATCCCACAGATAGATTTCTTTCCTTATCACACTCAAATTTTCTACATTGAAAGTTTTTTTTCTTTTTGCTATCACAGATGTCATCCTTCTAAGCAGTTGATTAATTGGTTGATTAATTTTGTGTTTTATTATATTTCCAAAATCTCCGAGTCTTTAAGGAATTTTGTCCTGGTTATATTATATACCTCTTTTCATGAAAAAAATTTTATGTAATTCTTTTCTTTTTTGGACATTATTTTTTATTTGTTTTTCATTGACTTAGCTTATTCACATTCAAGACTTCTAAATATTTCCTAACATATTCTTACCTTATAATCATTTGACATCTATAATTATTAATAATACATATTTACTTTTTTTCTGAACTTATTTAAAAATCAGTTTTCTATTTTTACTTATAAATCTACTGTATTTTATCCCTATTTTGACTTTCTCCCTGTGAATAAGTATCAGAAGTTTCTTTCTATTTCCTGACTTGTTCTCCTGTCACTATAAAGCAAGTGTATGACCTACAAATGGTAATTGATTATAGGGAATTTTCTAGAGGACTTTGGAGAGGGTTGCTTCAATTTTTCTTTAGCGTCCTATGGTTAGCAACGTATTCTACCTGGAATTGTTGAAAGCTCCTGATCAGTTGGAGTTTTAAGTGTGCACATCCTTATCAATATGTTGCTATAAGACTTCACATCTTGATGTGGGTATCTAAAGAGAGCACCTTTGTTTTTTGTCTGAACTCCTTGTTTCATGTAGTTTTAAGTGTGATATTATTTATTCCTTGTTTTCTTTCTCCTCTGTCCAGCATCTAGCATTTTATACTACCAGTTGTTTGCTAATCCAATTTCTTCTTTTTTCTGCTTTTTCCGCTTACATATACTACTTCTTTTAACATCCAGTGTGCTGGGAATTTAGTATCAACAACTCTAAACTTCGATAGGAGAGGCAAGTTAGCTATACTATTGCTTTTCCTTGAAACAGTGGTCCAGGGACCCCTGGTGGATCTCTGAAACCATTTCAGGGTATCCATGAATTCAAAACTATTTTTTATAACAATACTAAGATGTTATTTGCCCTCTGGGCTCTCATTCTCTCATGAGTGTACAATGGAACTTTCCAGAGGCCATGTGATGTATAATGATATTAATATCATTACTCTGAAGGCAAATGGAATGTATGCTTGTGTATTCTTCTGTTTTAAAAAATTTCTCAGTTTTAATTTCTAAAACAGTAAATATTGATAGATATAATGTATAAATACAAAAGCTCTTTGGGTTCCTTAATAATTTTTAAGAGTATAAATAGGTCCTGAGGCCAAAATTTGAAAACCACTGGAAACAAAGTGTCTAATAGTCTGAAGGTCCATGTGGGATGGGTGGGCAAAACCAAAAGACAGAGGTATAGAGGTGTGATAAGACATTTCCTCTTCCTTAGTCCTTAGGATCCTGAGAAATTAAGTTTGGGGATCTGCACAGGATGATGCTTGACTGGGTAGTCCCTCTGGACTTGCAAGTGTCTCAGTACAGGTTCAAAGTGCAATTAATTATTTGATGAACTAACATTTCTCAGGTCTAGCTGAGATACAATTATTCACAAAACAATCTTGGTCCTTCATAGTCAAAGGGAACCTGAGTGGAACTTTCGGATTTTACTTCCTAGTACACCTTTCCACTTTAAACAAGTTAGCACACCTCAAACTTAAAGAATGGTGATCCTCCTTAGCCACCAATTGCTACCTTCCAACCAAAGACTAATAGATATAACTCAAGTTTTGTTTGTCTTTTAGGGTTGACTCACAACTGATAAATAATGATATGACTATAAAATCTGGATAACCACACAATCACCTCCTAAAAGAAAGGCAAACTCACTTACCTTAAATAAAGGAATCAGTTTGCTCTCAAAGGAAATACATTGCAAAGTATTCTTTTGTGTATTTTGAGCTGATTAAAGTTGAGATGAAGTATCTTTAGCATCTAAATTACTGCTAAAGAAAAGGTTTCTACTGTTATTGTATTTTTTCCTCTTTCTGTTTCTTCCTATAGGGTATCCATAGAGTCATTTAAGCATGGAGCCCTGAGAGAACAACTGGCCAACCTGGCCACAAGACAGAAGAGCCTTTTAGTTGCCGCAAAAAAACAGAAAGAAATAAGCCTGAAAATTCAAAACTATAAGAATGTTACATCATTATCTGGTCTTGGTTTAAGGAAGTTACCACCCAGCTCAGAAATCTCCAGTGAAAAGAACATCCAAGAGCTTAACAGCCTGGAAAATTCAGTGCAACCCCAATCACGTTCCCTTTCTCCTGTCAGCTTTGTTTGTGGAAGCATGCAGGAAACACAGTTGCCTGTGGAAGCTTACAATTACAGCCACAATACCACCATTTGTCTAAATTCAGAGACAGTGAGAAGGGAAGAATTTTCTGGAAATAAGATAAATTCTAAACAAAATGTCAATGATTGTACCTTGGATGGGTTATCAAAATCCAGACATTCAGGTGGCACTGAGATTAAATTACCATCCCAACCTGTTGTTTTTATTCCTGAAACAGAATATTCACAAAAAGAAAATGATCTTACAGAAACTACAGCCGAAAGGCATGAATTCTATAGTTCTTCTGCAGTAACTGGCACATTAGATATTTCAGAAACCACGAGTGCACTTGCCCAAAATGATGTCCATCCATCAACTGTTGTTTGCGATCAGGACCTTTCCAATGATCCAAAAAGAAGAAACAGGAAAGCAGCTTCCCAGCAACCACCTCGGGGGGCATCAGAATCCCTGGCACATCAAGGGATTGCTGTTTCAGGCAGCGATACTGTGCATGAAATGAAAGCATGTCTTAAAAAATTAGCTTCTGCTGTTCCACATGTAAATGGCAGCCAGAACTCCTCTTCCTCTGGGTCTAGACATCAACATACTGTAAAAAAGCCTTTAAACTACAGTACAGCTCCTAAAAAGAAATGTATGCAGATAAAAGATTTGATATTACTGGGAAGAATTAATCCAGGAAATAACATTCTGGAATTCAGAACACAGGTATGCTATTATTCCTTCCTCTAAAATCATGCAAATTTTATAAGCAAGTGAGTAAATGTTGCTATCACATAGTGTACGCATTTAGCTCTGATTAGAGAAATGGGGTTTGGTTGGGCTTCCTAAGTGGAGGGACACAACCATTATATTTTTAGCAAGTGAAATCATACTTCTGGAATTGCTCTGATACGTTTTAAATACAAGCTCCTTTGAGTTCTCAGACCAGAATTAGTCAATTTTATTGCAGAAGGAAGAATTTAAGAGCAACACAAAAATAATAAATTGAAGCTGTCTTTAGTTTTAAAATTTTAGGAACTACCATTGTACTGATAAAGCATCCCCTAAAGGGGGTAAGTATAAATTCATCTTCCACAGAAGCTCAATTTAGAACCAAAGAATGACTTAGAGTTTGGGTAAATGTGATGCCATTAAAACAATATCACATAGGCATAAAAGTAGAGGAGGAAAGAAAAGGTTCTTTTTAAAATGCCTACAACAGAGGCTTCCTCTCTTCTTTCCCCATGTTCAGTTTTTGAAAGAGGAATTCAGAATGGCAAAGATTGCAGAGTCCTTGAACGCTTCTTTGCTTATGGACCAATCCTACAGAAATCACTCCAGGCTAACTGGAATTTAATCTGAATTACCCATTTCCTATCCTTCCCATTTCTGGATAATAAGGCTTTTCCTGGGTAATAAGCTTTACTTATAAGTTAGGAGCAAAATATTTTAATTTTAAACTGCCAAATTATAGTTTTGTGACTGAATTAGTGGCTTGATCTCAGATCCCTCAATGTTCCTCTTTGCTTACCTGTCAACCAATTTATCGTTAAGCAGTACTTACCTCGAATTAGCCAAAGCAGCTCAAATTTTAGTAAATTAGTTACATAATTCAAATTTGGACAGTTTTTTGTATTAGCTATAATAAAATTTTAATTGCATTTTCCACATTTCAGCTATTTTTTCTTCCTTTAACAGCTTTACTGAGATACAATTGACATACAATACACTGTACATATTTAAAATATACAGTTTGACAAGTTTGACATCTGTGAAACCGTGACCCCAAACAAGGAAATGAATGTATCTGTCATCCCCAAAAGTTTTTTGTGCTTTTTGGTACACTTCCTTCCTACCCCTGCCCTCCCCTGCCCATCCCCAGACAATTACTGGCCTTCTTTCTGCTCCTGCATATTAGTTTGCATTACCAAGAATTCTATGTAAGTAGAATTATACTGTATGTATTCATTTTTGTCTGGCTTCTTTCTCTGAGCATAATTTCATCCTTGTTGTAGCATATACCTGCAGTTCATTCCTTTTTTACTGCTGAATAGTAGTCCATTGTATGTGTATGCCATCCTATGTTTATTAATTCACCTGTTATAAATATTTAGCTTGTTTCTAATTGTTGACTATTACATATAAAGCTACTATGAATATTGGTGTACAAATTTTGGTATGATACAGACTTTCATTTTAGGAGGTAAATACCTAGGAGTAGAGTGGATGAATCATGTGGTAGGTGTACGTTTAACTTTTTAAGAAATTGTCAAAGTTGTTTGTAACATTTTACATTCCCACTAGTTGTGTATGAGAATTCTAGTTCCTCCATATTCTCACCAACACTTAATAAGATGAACCTTTTAATTTTAGTCATGCTAACATGTAGTATAGATGTGTGTATGTATGTAACATGTACAGATGGGTTGTAGTTTATCATTGTGTTTTTTTTTTTTTAATTTCAGCATATTATGAGGGTACAGATGTTTAGGTTACGTATGTTGCCCTTGCCCCCCCTCCCCCCGAAGTCCGAGTTTCAAATATGTCCATCCTTCGGGTAGTGCGCACTGCACTCTTTGTGTATGCAAATACCCGTCCCCTCCTCCCTCCTCCTCCGCTTAACAGCCTGGAAAATTCAGTGCAACCCCAA